GCTGGTCTGACTCCCGGTGGTAGCACACTACTCTCTTTCCTGTTACATTTGCATAACAACAGCTGATCAAGATATGTCAAGTACATTGATGACCTGCTGTATAATATTTTTTTTACAGTCCCAAATATTTTGTGGATTTGCTAAAAAGGTCAATTTCGCAGATTTACTTTGTACAAATTTAAGGTTAAGGGGCCATGGCTCATAATGCTAAGAATTCACACTAATTTTGCAGGTTTCCTTTTTTTTGCAGAAGAATTGTTACAGGGCAAAATAACGAAAAATTAGAACCCCACAAAAAAACAACCATCTGATCATGACCTCACAAGTTGGAGGTAAATTCAGATCGTTATGTACCAAGGTCAACGTTGAAGACATTGCAAAAGAAAGGTAGTCCAAACTAGGAGAATTAAATGAGCTTAAGGAAATGGTGATGAACTGAGACAGTATTGATGAGATAAGTGACGCACAGATTGCATTGTAAATTGACCTGGTTGTTTTTGTCTCTGGCTGGTGTATGTGATTTTTGTTGTTTGGTGATTGTGGCTTGGCATAGACCATTTACTTTCTGTGGGATGTTGAGGAGCCTAGGAGACTTAGTTAGGGTGAGTGTGCTGTAGCACCCTTGGGAATGGTAGGCAGTTTGAAAATCAATTCCAGGATCGTAAGAACATCGTTTATATATGATAATTTGCTCTCTGTTGCTGGAGGCAGATATCGTTTGATAAATGAAACAAAGCATTTATGGCAAATTTGCATACACATCTAGATCTTGTGCATGTAGCTGAACTGACGAGAGCTGTTTATGGCAGTGACTTTATGACAAGAATATGGTAAGCAGACAAAAGCCTGTGATGGTGAGCTGTAAAGACAAAAAGCAATATGTAGCTTAAAAAAAATCTGACATAGTTTTATGTTTGTATGAGTTGTTATCAGATTGAAATGATATCAATAGATACAGGACAAAATTTAAAGAAAGAAATATGGGGGTTATACAACTGATCACAGTGATAAACTATACTCTTTTAAAACACTATGACTACCAGGACAACTCTCTGGGATATCATCTGTCATAGGCAAATTTGAGTGTGACCACCATTGTTGATCATAAGTCTGTACAGTGTGGTGAGGAGTTTTGACCCCCACAGCAAGCTGATTTGAGTTTACCATGAATTGTCCTTAGTTTATCCTCATCCCTATGAGTTTAATGAGACGAGTCTGATCTTAGCTGGAGAATTGAGCTCATCAGGCAATTCAGGACTACAGTCACGAGATTTGTGGCCACCAATGAGTGAGTGGAACTCTAGTCTGATGACCTTCTATATATAATCAGTAACAAATATTCCCTACAGTCAGCAAGTAAAGCTCCTAAAGCCAGCGAATCAGTGAAAAGGGCCCACTGTCAGATGGTTGAGCCTCTATTGTCAGTGAAATGAGCCCTATTGTCAGCGAAATGAGCTCCCATAGTCAGTGAAATGAGCTTCTATGGTCAGTGAAATGAGCTTCTATGGTCAGTGAAATGAGCCTCTATGGTCAGTGAAATGAGGCTCTATAAGTAAAGGGAACCCTACTGTCAAGTATCTACTGTCAGTGAGGAGAGCCCTTTAGGCAGTGAGTTGAGTTATACAGGCAGTGAGTTGAGCCATACAGGCAGTAAGTTGAGCCCTACAGGCAGTGAGTGGAGTTCTACAGGTAGTAAGTTGAGTTGTATAGGCAGTTAGTTGAGTTCTACAGGCAGTGAGTTGAGTTCTGCAGGCAGTGAGTTGAGCCCTACAGGTAGTGAGTTGAGTTCTACAGGCAGTGAGTTGAGTCATACAGTCATACAGGCAGTGAGTTAAGTTCTACAGGTATCAAGTTGAGTTCTACAGGCAGTGAGTTGAGTTCTACAGGCAGTGAGTTGAACCCTACAGGCAGTGAGTTGAACCCCCACAGTCTGTTGTGCAATGACATTCTGTTAGTGACCTTAGCTGTTAATAGGACGCTAAATCCAATAAAACAATATAAGCCCATACATTTTTTGCAAGTTGGTCCATGGATAGGGTGTTTTGGTACAAAAAGGCCATTGCAAACAAATTGCATCACGCCATGAACACTATTTACATAATGGAAGTCCAGCTCAGAGATAAAGACGAATACCTTGTAATATTTTGTGCAATACATCAAAACAGATTATAAAAAACCATGGTAGATTTTCCTATTATGGTATGGCGTTGTCCGTCCGGCGTAAACTTTTGGATGTCCGGCAATCTCCTCCGACATTTTCAACCAATCTCTTTGAAACTTGGTATACATTATAATCATGATATGAAGTTGTGTCTCCCTTAAACGAATTTTAATTCAACAATTTTTCCAAAAGTTATTGCCCTTTGTTCATTTCAGTATTTGATTTTTGTCCGGTAATCTCCTCCTACATTTTTCAATGGATGTCTTAGAAACTTAGTAGGCTAGATAATCATGATATGTTATTATGTTTCCTTGAAAAGAATTTAGATTCGACGATTTTAGCAAAAGTTATTGCCCTTTGTTCATTTCAGTGTTTGTTTTTTTTATCTGGAGATTTTCTCCTACATTTTTATAGCATGTTAGCTAACCACTCTTAGAATGATGCAGATCTTATTTCAATGTAAGAAAGTATAAAACACTATATAGCATTCGACGGGCGTATATTGTTCCGCCCCGCGGTACTCTTGTTTATGGAGTGGTTACATAAACACATTATCAATTGATCTAGTATAGTGTGTGTCTGAGGCGGACAAAATACTACCTGGTACTGTGAAGTAATATTCAGCAAAACAGGCAAAGTCACAAAAGACAAGTTATGGTCAGACTAGTCTAGAACCAGAGGTAGGTACACACAATACAAGCTGACCAGACACTGGAGCTCTAAATAATGCAATTCTGTTACTAGTGCTGGGTTAGCTTATCAAAGAAGACTTGTGGCACACACTACTTGTTAGTTTAACATCTAATCTCTGACTGACTTTAGTTTAAGAACCTGATGCAGCTTATCCCAGCCATTAATTGACACAAATTCATTTTGAAGACACATTTAATATCTGACCAGCTGTTGTGTAGATGTCTAGAAGCAGCTTACACTGGACATTGGTAATACATCAAGTTGACCAATCATTGAAGCTGAGACCAGCTAGTCTGTGGAAACTGATCATGAGGCAGCTTGCCAGGTTTCCACAACACAAGGTAACCATACATTGAAGCTTCGACCAACCAGTCTAGATTCTGAGGCTGTTTACCACACACTGACACACAAGACAAATTGACCAAACGTTGGAAGCTCTGACCAACCCATCTGTAGCCCAAGGCAGCTTACCAAATGTCTGGTACCAGATAGAGGCTCTACACGTCTTCTAATCTCCAAAGTGTTGAGTCTGACGGTTAATTACGTCAAGCTTTATAGGAATTCATTTTACGGTGAAATATTCTGCAATCTTATGTAATGTCTCCCTCCTTCAGATGATGTTAAGAAAATGGATTTTCTAGTTGATGGCAGTAAGGGTACCACGTTGTTGTTAAGAAGACTCCTAAAACAGTTTTGTCAGCCTACACAGACATCTAATTGTGACAATGTGCACATTTATTTTACTGGGACCATGTGTCAGTTCAAAATAAACCTTGTCTTCAATCAAACTGCTTGCCCTAACATTGTGCTGACAAGACAGTAACATTGCTCCCTGGTGGATAGTCAGAGTATATAGTCGGAGTATAGAGGATCAGGTGTGGAAATCGTGTCGGAGTGGGGAAGAGTGGTGTGGTGCTAGTAAACAGTTTGTTTAATGGCTGTCATTGGTTCCCCAAAGGTTCATGGACATTCCAAGAAAACAAGTTTCATAAGAACACTGAGTAACAGAGGTCATTGAGTGTAGCGAGCTCACCCTCATCCTACCTACACTTAGACAGTATGGTAGACTAAGTTTTTAAAAATTATTGATCGTGCTTCTTTGTAGTAATAAAAATATATAAAAATAGCTCTGCTGGCAATTCCCAGGCAGGATAGGTACTCTATCAGATTCAAACTCATCAGGTTCTGTAAGGGGTTGATATCTTCTGTGGGTGTTGATTTCACAATTTTATCTTCCGTGGGTGTTGATTTCAGAATTTTATCTTCCGTGGGTGTTCACAATTTTACACAATGGTGTAATTTGTGAGCCGGCCCCTAGACAGATACCTACACCTTAATTGTGAGTTGTCCATTTATGGGAAACGAACAGTGTGTTATGAGTCAGCCTAACTGTACATTTTACTTAAATTTTAATCTGACACCATACTTACATCTCTCCCTCCTTCAGCTTAGTGAACTCTGACGGCATATAAATTAGAGTATACGCAATGAAATATGGCATTGTTCATGGTTCAGCCAGATACCAGTCCGATGACAGCCATTGCTTAGTTCCTTCAACATCTGGAAACATGGAACATATTCAGGATCGATTATGTGTGATTATAAAACAAAAGGACACTAACAAACATATTATTCCATGGATGCATATTCAAATTACCTGGTCAGTAAAGCAGTTCTGGAGCATTCAACCATGTCACTTATAAGAAAAATGACATAGCAGTGTGCTGATACGCATATATAACAACCTTTGAAAAATGTTGGAAGAGCTACTCATATTAATTAATAAAAAAAATGAAAATTATCAAAAAAGTAATATAGTGTTGATCACTATGCATTTTCTAAATCCTAGCAACCATAACTACAGTAGTTAACGATTCATAGCAACACACTCCATCTGTTTTTTTATTTGTACAGCATTTAAACACATTTGGGATGTAGATATAAGGATTGACCTTCATTTTGATGGCATATATGGTAGCATAAATGCAGTTGGCAACGAACATATTCTTTATGGAGCATATTACCAGATACGCTGTCAAAATGAAGGTCAATCCTAATATGAAGTGATGAAATAAATTGGTTTGGGATTTTTTTATGGTGTATATGTGAAAGAAATATAAAGATTAAATTTTGCCTTTATTTGCAGGTTGACAATGTGAAGCTGCTTGAACGTTACAAGGTGCGACAGTCTTCAGTGGGCACCCTCTATCTGACTACCACACATCTCATCTTTGTGGATGCAGCTGGGAAACGTGAAGTATGGGTAAGTTGTCTGCCTCACACAGATGTTTGGTAAACTGTATGGATAAGTTGTCTGCCTCACACAGATGTTTGGTAAACTGTATGGGTCAGTTGTCTGCCTCGCACAGATGTTTGGTAAACTTATGGGTCAGTTGTCTGCCTCGCACAGATCACCATCCTCGAAAGCCAACCCCAATCAATAATTACGTCATTTAAGTACTCAATTGTGTGTGTAAGCAGGGTTTGTACTTTCACTAGACAGTAAATTATCATTCAAAAAGTGTTTGAATTATCCGCCTATTTGTACTGACCAGAGGTTTACCGTTATTTTTTAAAATTCTTGCTGTTTAAGGGCAAAATATCAATAACATATCTGAATGTGTAATTAAAGGATTGACATGACCATGGGTCAAATTGGCCAGGAACTCCGATATGTCTTTAGACTTGCCTTCAGGCAGTGACTTTCAGCAGCTGGTTATTGACTCTGTCAATGATCCCAACAACCCTGACATGACCATGGGTCAAATTGGCCAGGAACTCCCATACGTCTTTAGACTTGCCTTCAGGCAGGGGCTTATAGCAGCTGGTTATTGGGTCTGTCAATGATCCCAACAACCTAGACATGACCATGAGTCAAATTGGCCAGGAACTCCCATACGTCTTTAGACTTGCCTTCGGGCAGTGACTTTCAGCAGCTGGTTATTGACTCTGTCAATGAACCTGACAACCCAGAGATCGGTGTTACTGGGGACAGTATTGGTACTGGGCTTTTTTCTCTGGGTTCAAGTCTACGTGTTGGCAATCTCTCTGGATCTACTTCTTCTGGTGTTACAAAGCTCACCAATCTAGTACCAATGTCAGTCCAGTCAGATTTGGAAAGTATCTTTCTCCTAATTGTATTACCGGTAATTCAGCTTCATTAGAATACCTATAGGCAGAAAGTGTTACAAATTAGCTAGAAGTGCTACAATTACTAGTACAATTTGCCTTTTTTGGAACTCACTAAAACATGGTTACTATGACAACACTGATTGCAATTTCATGTTTTTAACAAAGTCATAAATGTATCCAATGGCAAAAAAATATCTTTTGAAAATCAAACTATTTTGGCAGTGTAAAGAATTAATTGCCTAAGTCCCCTTAGGGTCTTTTTAAGAGGGTGTTACCATACTAATACTATTTTGTAATGTAACAGATATTCAAGATGATATTGGAGACTAAACCTTGTTATTGATAGTCTTTTCCTTTAGCTTAAATTGACTCTATATCCAAATCTTGTCCATTGATCTGTCCTGATGAGTGACTCAATATTTGTCTTGCTTATTTAGGTCTGTGGTGTAACTCAATCCGAACCATGTCCATATTCATTGTCTGCTCTACCCTGTCTATTGATCACACTGTATGACTTTTACCTCAGCATTGACATGGATTGCTTTGAACTGTGCCCTGCGCACTGACCTGTATTGTGTGACGTAGTATAAAGTCTGCCCATTGACCTGTACTGTGTGACTCAGTCTCAAGCCTGTCCATTGACCTGTACTGTGTGACTCAGTCTCAAGCCTGTCCATTGACCTGCTTTGTTTGACTCAGTCTCAAGCCTGTCCGTTGACCTGTACTGTGTGACTCAGTCTGAAGCCTTTCCATTGACCTGTACTGTGTGACTCAGTCTCAAGCCTGCCATTGACCTGCACTGTGTGACTCAGTCTCAAGCCTGTCCATTGACCTGCACTGTGTGACTCAGTCTCAAGCCTCCCCATTGACCTGTCCATATTGCCCATAGTGGTACGGTTTATTGATGTGATGGAGGAGAGTATTAAACATGTAGACCATTATTGACAAGTTGTGTTCGGACAACGTTTGGCTGATAGCGAACATAACATTAAATTAGTAATGACACATTTGGATACAAAGTGCTGTAAACATGGCTGCAGTTGTCCAAACTGGTTTCCGATTCCGATAAGACTGCTGTATGTACGAGGAGTAAAACATGATTGTAGACACAATACATAACGACAATGATTAGGGACGATTCATCCAACATGTTCCCGGAGATAATTATTCTGTTGTGCCACGTGTCTGTTTAATGTTGAGAGGTTAACCTATATCACCACCGTACCTCGTTAATTTGTCATATATTTTGGTTTTTATATAAAAAAAAATCAGTATTTCGAATATGTTGAAATAAATGCAACAGGGAGAATTTTTGTAAATGAAAACATGTACAAAGTATTCAAAGTTTTTCTGCATTTAAAATGGTGTACAGGGGCTGTAAAAGATTCTTCTAGACACACTGGTAAGGTGTTCATTAGTTAACATTAAATATAAATGTAGTATGAAAAACATGAATAGGGACTGGACCAGAGGGATACAGTGGAAACAGTAGAACAACTGTACGTCTGCTGATATTACCCTTGTGTTGTACCCTCTCAGGACTGATATTACCCTTGTGTTGTACCCCCTCAGGACTGATATTACCCTTGTGTTGTACCCCCTCAGGACTGGTATTACCCTTGTGTTGAACCCCCTCAGGACCACTTTTTAGAAACATTTATCCTTTTCTACACTGCCAAATATTTATCCTTTGGCCTTAAATGTCCAGTGTTTAATTCACCTATGCATACATGTAAATAAGAATATAGTATTAAAGACATAAATAGAGACCGGACCAGAGGGATGCAGTGAGTACAGCAGAACATCTATAAGACCTTGACTAATGATATCATCCTTATGTTGCACCCCATCAGGACCACTTAATATTTTTTCACTGCCAATTTTTTGTCCTTGGGCTTTTAAAAATAAATTTGTCCAGTGTTTTATTCACCTATGCATGCTTCCAAGTATGGTCACCGTATACACGTTTTGCCTTGTGTTAAATTTGCTGTCTCTTCCAAGTGCTAAAATATTAAAATTAAATGGTTCTGTTTTACAGTATTGAATTAAAAATAGATTTAATATCATTTGATGAGTCAAACACACTGTTATCTATTGTTTTCTATCTCTACTCACATCTCAATGGACACTTGAGTTTGTTCAATGCCATCAGTTGACTGTCAAACACAATAAGTGTGGTTATCTTAAGGTACAGGCATTGTAGATGATAGACACTGGATGAGTTATACATGATTGATAACATTTCTGCTTTCCATATTGCGATATATAGACAGACCTGAAAGAGAATTGTACTGAACTGACATGCTCAACCTGTGGTGGAATGTTCCTAAAAACGGACGAGTAGGGCTAGAACCTGTGTGATAACGCACAGCACGGGCTAGGAGGTGATCAATGACAGAAAGTGTAGAATCAATGTAACATTAATGAACTGGTGCCACACATGCTACAGGTGAAGCTAGTGGTAAAGGCCCTTTGATGTATAACAGACAATTGATTAAGGTTTACAATCAATGAAGGGATCATTCAGGGATAATTTCTTTCCTTGAGATTGTCACAATTCTTTATTATTGTTCAATTATTGTGAGGTAGCATAATTAATTCTGCTATAAAATGTCAATTTACATTTTCTTTAATCAAGAAACAGAAAGTGTTCGTCAGATCGTGATTCGTAGGGAGTGAGCATCCTAGGGGTATGGGTTGATGGTGTGACTGAGTATGTGTTAAGGGGTTGACTTTGGAATATGGGTTGACATTTTTCTGTTTCTTTCACACAATAATTTGTTATTTTACTATTTCAGATTTTACATATGCACATGGCAGCCATTGATCGGTTGCCATTGACAACAGGTGGCTCTCCATTACAGCTTCGATGTAAAGATTTCCGTTGTGTGACCTTTGTCATCCCTAAAGATAGAGAATGTCAGGACATATACGAATCACTAATGGATCTCTCTCGTCCAGGTAAGCTTGTAAAGGTCACAGTCTGGCCTCTAGACTTGTCATCAAGGTCAAGGTCAGTTGTACAATAATCAAGGTCTGTCCATTTGCTATAGGATGTACTTCCTATAATTTGCACAACTGTTAAGGTCTATCATATGAATTCTTCATGAAGGCCATACAGGTATTAGTTGTACAAGGGTAAAAGTCTGTCCATTAATTGTCTAGGTCATATTATACATTGGTGTCAAAGTCCAAGGTCAGACCCAATAATTTCAAGTGTATGGCAAGGCTGTTTAAGATGTCAGAGAAGAATCAACCAATGCTTAGCTTCCTTCTCAGAACATAAGTCATTGATTTTAAAATTTCTGATTTTCTTAAAGTATCAAGTCAGAGTAATGAACTTAAGTATCGGTAATGGTATATTAGGTACAATATCCTTGTAGATGTCAATTTTAGAATATATTTTTGTCAATTCCAGCGAGTATAGATGCACTTTACGCCTTCCACTTTACCCTGCCTGCTGGACAAAAGTCCTATGGATGGGATATGTATGATACTCAGACGGAGTACTTGAGAATGGGGATTCCGAACGAGCTGTGGGTCCTCACAAGCATGAACAGGGACTATGAGGTATGACCCTAGGTCACAGTCCCTTGTCTTAGTCCGTTAACACAAGGGGATCACGGAAGGCAACTATACTGAGAGAGGGACAAAAAACAATTTGTTGAAGGATACAAAACTCATTATGTGCACCCTCTATTGATTTCAAACTGTCATGTGATATCCATCTAATTTTGTAAAGAGTGCCAATATCACATTTAAAGGCAACATGACAGAGCCCATGCCATGGCTTAAAAACTGAAGCAACAGGTATTTTCTCTTTTGGTCATCCAGAATTGGCAAATATTGATACAATATCTTAGGTAACGAGAGCTGCCTCTGTTAGGCAAGTTGAAAAATAATAGGAAAAAGATGGTGTCTCAATTGCTGCATGCCTTTCAGCAAAATTAACTCAACTGATATGAGGTTTGGGCAGAGGAAAAAAGTGGAGCTTGGTACATGTACAAAATAATTGACATATTTGGTCAGCAAAGACTAACAGCAAATAAATCTGCTGTCAAGTGTTTTATATTTCTTTGCAAAAGAAAAACAGGGTTCAAATTTTGAAAAATATCATCCAACCAATGAGTTTGATCACTGTTAGAGTCAAAAAGGGGTTCTGGTAGAGCTTAACTGTAAAGCGTTCTATATGACAATCATGTGAAACAAAAGTTCTGTATAAAAATAAAATAAAATGTTCAAACTTATGTATGTAATCCAGTGTTCCCAGTACTCAACCCTACTTAACATCACTGTCTACTCTGTCTCACACACAGCTATGTGACACGTACCCCCGGGACCTATATGTTCCTGCTACTGCCACCACGCCTATCCTGGTGGGAAGTTCTAAGTTCAGGAGCAGAGGACGTCTACCAGCCCTCTCCTACCTTCACCGAGACAACCAGGTCTGTTTCTTATCCCATGTACAGTTATCTCCCCTTGTTATTACTAACCAACAGTACTATCCCATCTTTTACTTAACAAATTGTTTCTGTTATTTACATTTAAAGATAAAGTTTATGTAAAACCTGCAGTAGAACTACCTGTCTACTGTATAGTTGGTATCTCGCAGTACCACCTCATTTTGTCTTTCTCACTTGGGTGGCAACCTTTTAAGAAAGATTTAACATTCAATGTTATCTCATAATTTTGTTGTGAGTGGGAATTTCTGCTTTACATACGTTCCGTTCAGTTCTAACCTGATTGTATGACTATGTAACTGTGTTGTGATGGCTGTTTTGTGTCTGCCTCCAGGCCGCTATATGTCGGTGTAGCCAGCCTCTCGCTGGCTTCAGTGCACGCTGTGTTGAGGATGAACAGATGCTGCACGCCATTTTAAGGGCAAACCCTTCCTCCAAGTTCCTGTACGTAGTGGACACTCGACCCAAGGTCAGTTAATAACTTATGCTATCCCAGTCTCTTCAATGATCAATCACAAACTGCCTTCAAGGTCAGTTACAAACTTTCTTCTTGGTCAATAAAAAATGGTCCCCATGGTAACTTTCTGTACTGGTAAAATATAAAGTTAGTGACTTGAACCCTCACCCGAGACAATTGCTTATCACATCCAGGGTCAAACACAAACTATCATTCAGGAAAATTGTAAATTCTTAACATTGTAGCATATTGATATAGTTCTCATATTGATGTCAATAAGGTTTACCAATTAATAATTATCTGTAATTATTGCCACTGTGGAAGAGGGTTTTTTTTCCTGCTAATTTTCTAATAAAAAAGGGTTCTTTTTGTGATGATGTTTCCTGTGTTCTCCTTGGATCAATGTGACTTTTCCTGTTTTCTCCACAGATCAATGCGATGGCCAATAAAGCCGCAGGAAAGGGCTATGAGAATGAGAACTTTTACTCTGACATCAAATTCCAGTTTTTGGGCATTGAAAACATTCATGTGATGAGAAATGGACTACAGAAATTAATAGATGGTAAATTATAACAGGGAGATTGTTCCATCAGGCCTTAAGAAGCTATCCATAAGATAGAGTTTGATGTAAACTACTACAGAACATTTGAACCAATTCTATTTTGATTTGTTTTTTATAAGGACAAATGTAATGTAGGTCCAGAAGGCTTTTTTCAATGTGTATGGTTATCTACAGTAAATAAAATCTCATACGTTTCGCAGTGAATACACTGCAGTGCAAATGTTGGTACCAGGTATACACTGAATTTTAGAACACTAATTACATTTCTTGTCAACCTCAAATTATGCTCAATAAGACAATGATACATTATTAGGTGGTAAGGAAATGGAGGCACTCTACAAAACCACAAAATTAAGTTATGACTACTTGATAAATCATTCCTATTGATAAATGTTTTCTTTGACTTAACAGTGTGTGAACTGAAGAACCCATCAATGAACTCGTTCTTGTCTAGTATAGAGGCCAGTGGGTGGCTGAAACACATCAAATCGGTCATAGACACCTCCGTGTTTATTGTTAACGTAAGTCATTAACATTCTTGTCTAGTATAGAGGCCAGTGGATGGCTGAAACACATCAAACCTGTCATAGACACCTCCGTGTTTATTGTTAACGTAAGTCATTAACATTTTGTACACCTCCGTGCCAATGTAAGTCTTTAGTTCAAGTGCTCCTATCACTCGATTAAGGTGACCTTTTTAGCTAAACATTTCTCAATTTCCATCAATGAACTGATTTCTTTGTGAGTTTACATATTGATATATCATTATAAAAACAAGTTTGTTTTCTGGTGTGACATATATATTCAGAGTTATGCCCCTTTTTGGATATATTTGTCCAGCTATGCATTTCTCAATTGATGAGCTAAATTTTTATTTTCAAATATACAGCTGTGTTTCTATTTCTATGCATGTTATATGACTTATTCCCCTTTACACACTTTGCTTCACAATCTGGTGAAATTATTTATATTCAAATACTGTATAGACTAGTTGTTAATTATTATTCACGAGGGTTTTAATTTTGCTTTCACAAATACTTGGAAACTATGTGTGAGGATAGCTCCATTAAAGCATTTGTCACATTGCATTGACAGGTGTGTTATTTTATTGGGGATATTATTAGAAAGTAATTCACTAATTTACAAAGTGTTTTGCTGAGGAGGTGTGGGGTATATTTAGTAAGTGTGTAGCTTACATTTTCAGTTGGATTTAGGGATATTGATGTACAGCTGTTGTTATTGTAGGCGGTACGTAATGGCATTAGTGTTCTAGTGCACTGTTCTGACGGCTGGGATAGAACTGCTCAGACCTGCTCCCTGGCTTCCCTTATGTTGGACCCTTATTACCGCACCATACAAGGCTTCCAGGTAATTCATAAAGAATGAAGGTTAAAAATACAATTTCCAAGCAAACCTGCAAAGCTTACAGGTGATTTATACAAGACCTCCAGGTTAATCATAAAAGGCATGAAGGGGGTTTCAGCTTCTTAGTAAAGCATGAGGGGCTATCAGGTAAAGCACATGATGTTACATGTTTGAACAGTTCTCAATTTATTTATATACATACATGAACATTGTATCATCTGTACCCACTCATGAATTGATCTCTGTGTTTTAGTACAAAATATTTCAAACAATCTTACTGTCTACATAACTGGATATGTTGACAGTCTACATACATGCTTGGAAATGATGATTTTGTATGATAGTAATACACTGTAATGGGCTGTATTGCAGTTTATATTGTGGATAATATTTATGGGATTCATATTATTGAATGTGTCAATTTTTTCGCGACTACGCAAAGGTCATGTGATTAAGCAAAAACATCGTTCCCACACAAATAACTGGCTGTAGGTATATATATGTACAGTATAACCTGGATGTATCGCCACCCGTTGTACCGCCAAACTCGCATACTGCCACCAATTACGTTAGAACCGATTTCCCCAAACTTAAATGCACCCGTTGTACCGCCAAACTCAGGTACCGCTATATGACACAATGTTTTGAGAACAGTCGTTCAAATACCCCTTTGTTGGCCCCCCGACAACACCGCCACGCTCCATTAAAGAAATGTGCCTATATTGTTGATTTCATAGTTGACTCAGCCCTGGGGGTCAGTTTTAGATATATTAATTTACATCTGAATACAATTTACCATATTACCTCTGTCGGTTATTTATTCATTCATTCACATGGCTTCTCACAGGTTTTCAAAAAAAGGAAACAGGTTGTGAAGATATTCAATATTTCAATTTATTTTACAATTAAATGTCTGACTGTGGATGATAATTGGACCAACAAATTGAAATTGATTTGATGATATCGACGGAACACAGCCGTTGTGCTTATCATGCGAATACTGTATTGTTTTGCCATGTGACTGTGACGTAACGCATCTGGCTATCACCGCGGCACTCGTAGAGTGTATTTCTTGCATGTGACACACTGATTGTAATACCAGATCTAAATCAATATTTCTGAACTAATTATTCTTTCAAAAACGGTGTGTATTTTAAAAATTGCATATATACATGTATATTTAAATTTTCATTGGTAAGTGTTGGATATGTGTCCTAAAACAAACAAGTGTTCATCCACCTGTCATTTAACAGGGACAACTTGTTGTACCACAAAAATGTCTTTGAACGAAAGGTGATGTTATATCGGGGTATACTGTATATGAATCCTAGACGGTAACATCACGGCACAACAGAAGATTGTATACCACTGATAATCAGGTACAACAAGTTCAACAGATCTGTGAGATTCAGAATAACTTCTGTTGGTGATATAATGTAAGAATATTTTTACCCAATCATATTGATAATAAATGACATTAAGTGACTTATTTCTGCAGGCCCTAATTGAGAAGGAGTGGTTGTCATTCGGCCATAAATTCACGGATCGCTGTGGGTTCCTTGGGTCAGGGGACGCCAAAGAAGTGTCGCCGGTCTTTACCCAGTTCGTCGAGTGTGTGTGGCAGATCATGCAGCAGTTTCCATGTGCTTTCCAGTTTAACGAGCGCTTCCTCATCACGATACACGACCACTCATTCTCCTGTCAGTTCGGTACATTCATAGGCAACTGTGAAAAGGACCGCGTAGATCTCAGGTACACCCTTACAATGCATGCTTACTCTACAAGGACAAGTAACGTTCGGTGGTAAGGTCAGAAAATAGAGTTAGACTATAACTGGCAATATCAAAATAGAAAACGAAGTCAGAATATGGGGCTACATCAGAGTAAATGGCAATATAAGACATAAGGTCAAGGTCAGATATTGGGGCTAGGTCAGACTAAATGGCAAAACCAGACTAAACGTCAAGGTCAAACCGGGAGTAATGTCACCTTGGGGACCAGGAGTAAGGTAACACTAGGAATAAAGTCGAGACATACTATATGTTGGCTTCTGTATGCAAGATCTTCACTCTTTACACAGCAAAATTATCTTTCATCACACCTTCTTGTGTAAGTTGAAAAAAGAATCATGGAAGTGTATTTTCATATATTTTAAAGTAGAATCATGTAAGTGTAACACTAATATGAGAATAAAGACTCTTATGTCAATAAGTCATAGTAAATATTTTCCTCCAGTGTTCATAAAGAGGATGACATACCGGTGGTTTAACATGATACATTTGTCTTTCAGACTTTCAGAAAGAACCTATTCTCTGTGGGGTTACATCTCCAGGCACATGAATGAGTTCCTCAACCCTCTGTATAAGAAAGAATATGAGGTACAACATCCTGTGGTCGTACCAGATACCAGTCCTCAGTGTGTGAGGTAGGTCATGTCTAATGGTAGGGAAAACTAATACCATTTATGAGGAATGTATTGTCAAATGGTAAGCAAACTAGTATCCATTTTAAAGAATGTCTTGTTTAGTGGAAGGCACATCAGTCTCCATTGAGTAGGACATGTCCTACATAATGGTAAGTTATCTATTTATAATTGTTTGGGGTAGATTTTATCCAACAGTAGACAAATCTTTTCCTGCTTTGTAATATATATATCCTGTTGAATGGTAAGCAAATTTGTCTTCAATGTATCAAGATTCAAAATTTCATGAAAGTTCAAAAATGTATTCCTGACATCAATCTCTGGAGCCCAGTAGAAGGTCAAGGTCACAGCTACAGTATTTATACATGATGAAAGGAAAATGATATTTGGCTTGTCTGCAGGTTTCTGATTTTTCAACCACATTCATAAAGCTTCACACAAGTAATTGTGACAGTAATCTCTTAAAGTCATTTGAAGGTCAAGGTCATTTGTTTAAGGTCAAGCTTTCAGTTACAAAGTTTTTCAAAATTTTATGAAACTTCATACGATAATTCCTGACATCTATCTTTCACACACGTTTAAGGTCAAGATCATACTCTCAAAATTTCTCAACACCATATAGCACACAATGCTTGTTTGCACATACACATGGAGCCCAACTTCCATCACTATAGCATGGGGTTTTAATGAAATGTTTTGTCTTTCATAATGATGTCATATGTACCATTTATGATATTCTTGTTTTACAAATTAAAGCTTGACAGAAGCAGGTATTTACTTTACTGTGGGAAGTACCCACAGTATACAGTTGTGTCCTGATCAAACACTGACTGACCTCCTCAGAACTACTTAAGGTAGTATGATGAGTTTCACAGTATTACATTTCAATGTTTGTGGCCAGGTTTTGGAAGGGGATGTACAATCGCTATGAGACTGGAATTCACTCTAGGGAACACATCACAGATATTCTAGGGGCGGCGAAGGATCACAGTGACTCACTGGAGGACCACATACGGCTCCTGGAGAAGGTAACTGTGCTGACAAATAGGGAAAATGTTGAAGTGTCAATATTGCATTTATGACAGAGAAGTCAGGGTATAAGAAAAAGAAGCATTCCCCCTGCTGTGAGATGGGGGATCTCAACGCTCAGTTGCTAAATACTAAGCCATGTGTTGGCAGCTTAAGTAGTTGTAAGAATCTTCCTCCCCAGGTTGAGATCCCCCTATGTTACACTAAAGAGATGAAAGGTTCTGTAAGAAATGGGTTGGGACCTATAACCACAAGAACAGATAGGGGATATAACGTCACGCTACCACAATTGGTATGCTACCCAAATTGGTACACGGTCAGAAAATGGTTCGAATTGTACTTAAAAATTAAATTTGAGAATTTCCCTTTGACAATATAACAAAAGAGATACTTATCAGCATTTCCAACGAACAGTTTTGTTTTCAGGAATATTTTAAGAGAACACGATGACTTCAAAGTAAACATGTCAGAAAACCAGTAAAGAGATGAAAGGTTCTGTAAGAAATGGGTTGGGACCTATAACCAAAAGGACAGATGGGGGATATAGACACGTGATAGTAGGGGAGATAACTATTATGAGAGTAGACAAACAGTGTGAGGATAGGAATGGAATAGAGAGGAAGAATGAGTAGCTTTGTTGACAGTATGAACTTATGACCCCCTTTTTTGACACAGAGAATCACTCAGATCTGCAAGGTGTTGGGGAAGTCAGAAGAAACAATACAGAAAAAACTTGATGGCTTCTTATCGATGGAGTCCCTGGATGGCTATCTGGCTGGGCACATAGAGGAACCACTTCCAGAGAAAGTGGCCAAAGTAGGTGTCAGTCAGTAAGGTTGTTTAGACACTTATTTCAGATAGGGAAATTCTGAGAGAAGATATCTGAGATAAGGGCCTTCCTAAAAAAGGTCTCCAAGACAGGCAAAATAGTGCCTTCTTACGAAAGATCTCCAATGAAGGGGCCTCCACACAAAAGGTCATACATGTGGCCCAGGTAAGGGCCTTTCTACTGAAAGTGTCAATAGCATCATGGGCCTTCCCACAACAGTTGTCCATTGTAGGGGCTTTTTACTGCAGTATCCAAGGGAGGGCAACATACTCCTCTTAAAAAATTGTAACAACTGAAACACAGATCTAGATCATGGTGGGCTATTCAAATCGCCCTGCCTCCGTGGTCTGTTGTCCATTGTCCGTCCGTCCTTAAACAGTTCTTGTTATCGCTTTTTCTCAGGAAGTGCCAGAGGGATCTTTCTCAAATTTTATATGTAGGTTCCCCTTGGTCCCTTATTGTGCAGTTTAACTTTTAGGACTGATTGGATAAACGAAATGGCTGACAGGCAGCTATCTTGGATTTTGACAGTGAAGGTTTGTTATGGCTATTTCTCAGGAGGTAAACTAGAGAGATCCATCTCAAATTATATATGAAAGTTCCCCCTGGTCTGTAGTTGTGCATGTTTAATTTTGAGACTGATCGGATATAGAATATGGCCGACAGGCCATCATCTTCGATTTTGATAGTGAAGGTTTGTTATCACTATTTCTTTGGAAGTACTGGAGAGATCTTTCCCAAATTTGTTATGTAGCTTCCCTAGGTCTGTAGTTGTGCATGTTTAATTTTGAGACTGATCAGATAAACAAAATGGCCGACAGGCCACCATCTTGGATTGTGACATTAAAGGTTTGTTATTACTATTTCTCAGGAAGTACCAGAGGGATCTTTCCCAAATTTGTTATGTAGGCTCCCCTAGGTATGTAGTTGTGCATGTTTAATTTTGAGAATGATTAGAAAACCAAAAAGGCCAACAGGCAGCCATCTTGGATTTTGAAAGTAAATGTTTGTTATCATTGTTTCTCAATAAGTAGTTGAGAGATCTTTCCCCTTAGTTTACTTTCGAGACTGATCAGATTAACAAAATGGCAGACAGACAGCCATCTTGGATTTTGACAGTGAAGGTTTGTTAGTGCTATTTCCCAGGAAGCACTGGAGGGTTCTTTCTCAAAGTTGATATGTAGGTTCCCCTTGATCCCTCGTTGTGCATGTTATTTTTTTAAACTGATTATAAAAAAAAAATGGCTAAAAGAAGAACTAATCAGATCTTTCTCATATTGCAATGATCGATTCTATTTCTTTCATATTAAAAACAAAAGTACTGTACTAGTAAATATGTGAAATGACAAACTCACTTTGAAGGTTGTCTTTTATACACAGCAGTATTAAGTTTAGATCAAAAGTTACCTCAAGGTGCATTTACTGTTAACATGACTCGATCAAACAGATTAGAGAAAAGAAGAGAAAAGATCGAACTGACAAAGAACTAATGAAGATGGTACAATGGTGGGTGCCAAGATCCCTGCGGGATCTCTTGTTTTTTTGTAGTACAACACTTCACAGATTTAATTATGTTACTTAAAACGTTGTGGAGTATCATGAACTTGACACTTTACCTTGCAAATATGTGGTGTTCTGTAAGATTCAATCTCCTTGTTGTTAAGGATGTGGCAGTAAATGGATCCTTGGAAACGTCACCCGATGACTCGCCACAACGATCAGATGACTCAACACAACATTCGGACGACTCGTCACAAAGAGACAAAGATCACAAGGACAAGATAAACCACATCAAGAGTGACCGTGAGTCTGGCTTTGATGAGGCCAGCTCCACAATGTCGCGGTCGGGTGTGGACGAGGTGGCCTCACAGATGTCCAAGTCAGGTATAGAGGAAGGAGTAGGGACCATGGAGTCAAGCATGCTGTCAGGGGGCATGGAGACTCTTACTCTGGACCAGCTCCTCTTGGAGCTTCAAAGCGTGGCGGTTGACTGGAGGTCCTTCCGCCAAGTCCACACCTGCACGTGCGCTACCCCCTTTGATTGCTTCACTAAAAAGGCAAGCGCCACTAAACATTGTACTCAAATACTGTACACCTATATGTCTCTGTGTAGATTAGAAATATACTTTATCATTTAATGGGCAAGAAATAATTGCACAGAAACATGGGCCATACAGTTTATAATCTGGACGACATAAATCACATCAGTCATCTTAATTTTTTTGGGAACAAATAATTTACTAAAATATTTTACTTTAAGTTTAATAATTCACTTTTCATTGAATTGTAAATACTGTAAAAGGAAAAATGCTCATTTTTTTTATTTGTGTAGCAACAAGAAGTTTATGTCCAGATTGTATTGCATCAGCATATATAGAGGTTTTTTATGTGTTTCTATTCTGATGTGGAAATATTTGAAAAAATAAACAGTTCAGCAACTTTAATATAGCTGGTTAATGTAAATCTTGAAAATGTATGAAATATTTTGAATTAAGAGAAAATTTGGTTGCCCACTTGTAAACATAAGCTTTCAAAATATGATTTACAGGATTTCTAAAAAAAAGTTGCAAATCATTGAGCTTTTGTGGTGCTCGAGAATAGTTTCACAGATAAAACCTGTCAATCAAACTACAAATGTATAGTGTTGTGAGGTAACCACTGTCAGTATATCTGGAAATCTTTATCCTTCAGAAAACCAGGGAAGCAAATTCAATATTTCTCAGTTTCATAAAATATTTATATTCAGTCTTGCCATTTTTTTAAAAATTTTGATCATTAGTGAATTTGTTTATGATGAGGTTTTCCATTTAGTTTTGATCTCCAGATACATATTATATCTTATGTATATACACTATCCACATAACCTACTGTAGTATCATGTATATACACTATCCACATAACCTACTGTAGTGTCATCTTCACTGTATACAGTCTATCGTACAATGCTCCTGGTCTTTCGTATGTTTCGGTGATGGAGGAAGGCATGTCTGTATGTAAATTGATGTATCGCTGATTGTTATACAGTATAGCAGTATATCATATATCCTTAACAATCTATTGGTATATTGTATGCATGTCCTAACAGGATTATATAGCAAGAGTCCTGGGTGCCGTATCACGACGCGTACGTAAAGTTACGGGTACCTGTGAATATTTACGTGCACGTATCTAAGTGCACGTAAGTTACGTAGGGGGTGTTTCACGTAACTTTTCACATTTACGTACGGGTTTACGTGCACGTAAATTTCACCGCAAGTGAATAATCCAACATGATCCTTAAGTTTGAAGCGGTTACAATATTAACCATTCAATGATTTCTTCAAACTTAACATACGGCAATTCTTATTTGAATCCTTTTATGAGGTGGCCAGAACTTTGAGAAGTGGAACTCTCTAGTGTCAGTAGTTCAACTAATTCGAGCCCCGTAGAACCAGAGGCAGCACAGGAGAGCCCGGTACAGCTGGGTAGAAGTATTTGAACTGCCCGGGCCTTTTCTTTTGATGTCATGTCATAGCAACTGTATCTTTTTTTTACATATATTTACAATATAAATGTAATGATAAAGAAACATATCATATTCTACAAATCCATACTTGCCAACTCTCCCTATTTCGGAGGGAGATTCCTGAATTGGAACCCTGAAATTCAGCATTTTCTTTTTAACAATTCCTATTTTCTATGATTTGATGATTTCATCTGAAAGAACAATTTGAAATATGTCATCTAAAGTGTCATTTTCCTCTTATGGTGTACATACACAAATTTTATTGATGTTTTCAATTCCTAGCATGCGTATACTTTATCTCCCCCATGGATATTTCAAAAAGTTGGCAAACAGGCAAATCTATGGCTATTCGAAATTACACGCAGTGATATTAAAGAAAAGCTTAAGCACGAGCTTCCACCTTTAACATACTTGTATATGCTTTATTACAACCGGTTGGTCGGATGGCGCAGTGGATAGCGCACTTGGCCGGGGTCACCTGCCCGACCACATTGGTTTTCTCTGGGTATTCTGGCTTCCTCCCACACTAAGACCCACCCCCGCGCTTACATCCGAGCCAGCAAGAGAGATTATTATAAGTTGTAAAAATAGGCTTCATAATTGTTGTAAAATGATTAAATATATCACAACTAATTATTTGTCTAGTTTTAGGTAAGAAAATATAACGATTTTCGAATATAAAACACGACTTGTCATTCACACTAAAAGACCGCTTTATCGTTCAATGAAAACACAAAAGGTATGGATGTAAAAGTATAAAAAGGAAACTGAAATAACATTTTCAATACAACAATATTATGCTGATTTAGAATTAGAAATATAGCAACTATCATGTACATGTACAGCTAATAACACACATGTGACAGGACCACTAATTTAAATTATTGGGACTATCTGGGGTATCGCCAGTTTAATTAAATATTGATAAGTATATTGTTTTGTAAAACTTTGATACAACTAAATATTGTTGAATTTTTAGGCTTGGAATTTTACAAAAAGGGATGATTTCAAATTCGTATAATTACAGCGGGCACAATAAAACACTGGGCAAATATTAGTAAGATTTTCTAACATAAATAAGCTGTTTGATTTGGAGATACCGCCGACTCTTGGAGTGAACCAGTATCGATTTGTCCAACATAAGCCCATTAATCGTGTAGGTATTGTTATTATAAGGATGCAACACGGTAAAAGTGTATCCTCTTCAATAAGAAACAAAGACTGATAGACTTTACAACGTGTTGTAATCGAAGCACCACAACAATATCACAGCGTAAAGATAGCGGATATATACATATATAGTTAAATGTTTAATTAACATCAAACATAACTTCCATCGACTTTGAATTTCTTGTCGGGTTACATAATCTACATGCACAATGTATTACTCGGGAAAATCTACATGTACAATGTATTACTCGGGGATAATCTACATGTACAATGTATTACTTGGGGATAATCTACATGTACAATGTATTACTCGGGGATAATCTACATGTACAATGTATTACTCGGGGATAATCTACATGTACAATGTATTACTCAGGGATGATCTACATGTACAATGTATTACTTGGGGATAATCTACATGTACAATGTATTATTCGGGGATGGTCTACATGTACGATGTATTACTCGGGGATAATCTGCATGTACAATGTATTACTCGGGGATGGTCTACATGTACAATGTATTACTCGGGGATAGTCTACATGTACAATGTATTACTCGGGGATAATCTACATGTACAATGTATTACTCGGGGATGATCTACATGTACAATGTATTACTCGGGGATAATCTACATGTACAATGTATTACTCGGGGATAATCTACATGTACAATGTATTACTCGGGGATAATCTACATGTACAATGTATTACTCGGGGATAATCTACATGTACAATGTATTACTCGGGGATAATCTACATGTACAATGTATTACTCGGGGATAATCTACATGTACAATGTATTACTCGGGGATAATCTACATGTACAATGTATTACTCGGGGATAATCTACATGTACAATGTATTACTCGGGGATAATCTACATGTACAATGTATTACTCGGGGATAATCTACATGTACAATGTATTACTCGGGGATAATCTACATGTACAATGTATTACTCGGGGATAATCTACATGTACAATGTATTACTCGGGGATAATCTACATGTACAATGTATTACTCGGGGATAATCTACATGTACAATGTATTACTCGGGGATAATCTACATGTACAATGTATTACTCGGGGATAATCTACATGTACAATGTATTACTCGGGGATAATCTACATGTACAATGTATTACTCGGGGATAATCTACATGTACAATGTATTACTCGGGGATAATCTACATGTACAATGTATTACTCGGGGATAATCTACATGTACAATGTATTACTCGGGGATAATCTACATGTACAATGTATTACTCGGGGATAATCTACATGTACAATGTATTACTCGGGGATAATCTACATGTACAATGTATTACTCGGGGATAATCTACATGTACAATGTATTACTCGGGGATAATCTACATGTACAATGTATTACTCGGGGATAATCTACATGTACAATGTATTACTCGGGGATAATCTACATGTACAATGTATTACTCGGGGATAATCTACATGTACAATGTATTACTCGGGGATAATCTACATGTACAATGTATTACTCGGGGATAATCTACATGTACAATGTATTACTCGGGGATAATCTACATGTACAATGTATTACTCGGGGATAATCTACATGTACAATGTATTACTCGGGGATAATCTACATGTACAATGTATTACTCGGGGATAATCTACATGTACAATGTATTACTCGGGGATAATCTACATGTACAATGTATTACTCGGGGATAATCTACATGTACAATGTATTACTCGGGGATAATCTACATGTACAATGTATTACTCGGGGATAATCTACATGTACAATGTATTACTCGGGGATGGTCTACATGTACAATGTATTACTCGGGGATAATCTACATGTACAATGTATTACTCGGGGATAATCTACATGTACAATGTATTACTCGGGGATAATCTACATGTGCAATGTATTACTCGGGGATAATCTACATGTACAATGTATTACTCAGGGATTGTCTACATGTACAATGTATTACTCGGGGATGATCTACATGTACAATGTATTACTCAGGGATAATCTACATGTACAATGTATTACTCAGGGATGGTCTACATGTACAATGTATTACTCAGGGATAGTCTACATGTACAATGTATTTCTCGGGGATAGTCTACATGTATAATGTATTACTCGGGGATGATCTACATGTACAATGTATTACTCGGGGATGAAGGATTGTCTACATTTCAGTGGCAGGGTCGGTCGGGGAACAGTTTCAAAAGGCGGTAGCTATCGTACTGGGTTCTCGTTGAATGACAAACAACAAATTTTTAACATACTCTCGTATTTTTTTTCAATTACAGTTTTTTTTGTAACAGGTGTGCCGAGGTTAGGTTATGTAAACTGGGAATCCAAAGGGAGACAGACGAAATGACACAGCAGTTCGTTATTTTTTTGGCAGATTATGATCAATTTCTTACTCTTTATTGATATAACGTTAGTGACGCGTCATGAACCTTTCACGTTACGTCATTTTCTCCATTGCATCTATCAACATTTTTCAATAAATTCCTGTCAGAAAATTACACATTGTTTTGGCTTGTAGCATTTACATACACATTGTTTTTGCTAGTAGCATTTACATGAACATAATTCTCTAAGGTTTTGTTTTTGAGATATCAGTTTTCATCTCTGTATCAAATTTACTGTTGATATCTTTCCTATAGGACACAATGGCCAATTAACTCATTATGGTTGAAAATCTAATAAATGGATAATAATATCAACATGATTGACGGAAGCGTTGGATAATTCTGCAGATGTATGCAAAATTTCGTTAAAATGGAACAAACAACGAAGCCTGGCGAAATTATTGACACCCCCCCAAAAAAAAACATATAACGCAAACAGATAATGAAGTAACATTGGAGACTTACATGTAGGGAAAGTCATTTTTGGGCGTAACTTACGGGTACCCGTAACTTATTTACGTGCACTCGTAACTTACATGTGCGTCGTGAATAGGACCAAAAAACTTACGTACAGTTTACGGGTACCCGTAACTTTACGTACGCGTCGTGAAACGGCACCCTGCTATGGCATATAACACTATACTGGATAATAAACTTACTACATATACTATCTACTGTGAATATCATGGAGGTAAAATGTACCAACACAAAAACATTTGATTATCAATAAAGAATGAAAATAAAATTGAAAATAAATCTTCCCCACCAGCCCTATCAGTGGTGAAATCTAGGGCAATTGACTATGTTGGAGTACTTTCGATGATGGCTACATTCGCGTATCCCGGTTGAAACGTTACGTGTGGGGCAGAAATTTTCCACGATAAACGAACACACTTGGACCGTTCTGTAAGCAGAGCTAAAAATCCACAGTTTCGGAGAATAAAAAACAATGTATCAAGAAAACTATGCCCTTCTCTGACGCATCCACTAAATTACATAACGTATCTTAAAAATTACATGTGACTTGACATTGTTTAAGAAAGACATAACGCAAATTAGCAATAGTCAGCTTTTTAGTTTCGGTCAGGGACGTCTGGACCCCTCAATCTACACGTACCAAATTTTCCTGCGGTCAGCCTCGGTCCAAATATGTACCTGTCGTTTTCTTTACAGGTTCAACCGTTTCAACCGGATACGCGAATGTAGCCCTAGTGATAGTTGTCAGAAGCGGGTTGAAATAAGTAACATATGTGTAATTGATCACAAGATAGTTGTTGGGTGCAGGTTGTATTTGAAACAGTTGAGTAATGATAATGAGCTATTGAAGTGCAATCCTTAGGAAATTGCTACTATTCCTCTGTGTAACAATTAGGTCGCAGTGTGTTATGTAACATCTGGTGTATATCAACATGCAACTTTAACTTATAATATATTAATTATACTTTGGATTTAGATATTGTTAAAGTCACCATGTCTGTGATATGGCCATGGGTGAGATGTTTTATCTAACCAAACTATTGTTTCATCTACTTTCAGTTTCACTGTTGGAAATGCGGTGATGTGTTTTGTATGCGATGTATAGCCAAGAGTATCCCTCTGCCTGGCCACTACTCCCGCCGACCAGTTCCTGTTTGTCGTCCCTGCTACAAGGAGATACGACATTCACCTTCAATGGAGTTCCCACCCGGATACACACCTCCCACCAACTCCAGCTGATGAAGGGAGATAACTCTTGTGACTTACTCTTAGTGTAGCTGGCAATGACATGTACTGTTTTGATGCTGTGTAGATAAAAGGCATTGTTTTGTAGTCTCTCACCCCTATTATCTCAAATAATTACGCCCATCATAAAGGACCTGGAACATTCCATTGTAGATATGTGTAAGAACAAGGCTCTTATCTCTGTGCTGCATAGAATTAGGGCAGTGAAGCATATGGACTCCATTACACTACATAATTGGAAAGCTTGTAAGTTCCTATAAGTGTTGTAGTGATTTTACTGGATCTGTCCAGCCTACAGCATGACCAGTCATTGTAAGTATGCCTCGGCAAATTATGCACCAGGTAACATGTTTTAGGAGGTTGTTGCTATGGTAACAAATCTCTAGAGTCTGGAAACCTGTCTCACGAGGTTGTTGTCGTGGTAACTTGTCTCTTGAAACAGAGTGTTAGTCTATAAAGAGTTTCGAGTGACATGAAAACAGATCATTCATGGATGTGGAACACTGGAACATTTGACATCTGGAGGGACCTACAGCATGAATGTTACAAGGAAGTGAGAAGATGAGGCAGTAAAACTCACGGATTTTGTGATAAACTTTCCATGTTATATTACCTATGTGTTTTGCCATTGATTCCTGGCAGTGTGAGAACAGCTTGCCATGGCAATGCATACTAAAGAAAGAATCAAACACTGGGATTATATAGTTGTTGTGTTGGTTGCTTGGTTATCAGTTTCCATGGTGATATAGTGAGGGGTACTTTTATTGTTTTGCTTCAATCTTGTGATATTTTGTGACAACTTGTCAAAAAAGGACTTTGTCAATTGTCTGACATATAATCATGTGTCACATATTATCTTGATTTTCTGACTTATGTGTAGGCATCCTGAAAGGGAAGTAACTCTAACTCAACTTTTAATGGCCATTAATTATCTTCAATAAGAAAAAACTGAATTTTGCCTGGGATTTCTCTTGTTTTTACACTCCTGAGCTTTTTCTCTTCAAGGTACATGATAGGATTAAGATTTCATGAAATCATACCCGTGAAGCATACACAAATAACTTTGCATAAATTGAAAAAAAAAAAAAATCATTAAATAATGTAGACAAATGCCCAAGGACTTGCTTGGCAAACTCAGAAGTTTTTTTTCAATGACACAATTGATTGTGCATATAAATGTGGTCAACTCTTCGTATTTATGGCCATTAAAGTGAGTATAAAGGACAGGAATATTTTACCAGGATTTTAATGGGCAAGGTTGGCTTTATGTTTGTGTGTTATAAGTGATAAAATGAGTGTGTTATATATTGGACAAATAAGTATGTAAACATTATAATATAGAAGTTTTGACAGACTAGTTTCATTATATATGTTGAAAATTAACTGATTTACTGAATGAAAACTTGTTACATAGAAAACCTTTTCTAGTACCTGTCATTGAATACTGGAGAAATTACCCGGTATTGTTCAAAGTGGACACTAATTTTGTTGATTGTTTTAGTTTTACTACATATATACTAAGCTATTGTTACAAAAGTAGGTGTTTGAAAATCCTACTGTTCCTTGACATTTTTAAAGGATTAGCCTGTTTTGATATTTTGTCAGCTTGTTGTATGCAATGCAATTTTTTTTTGTATAAAAGAGGTTCATGTTTTATTTATAATTATGTTCCAAGGTCAAGACCTTTGTATAAAGTATTATGTGTTTATTTGAAAAGTCCTGACCAGATGACGTATATAAAGTATTGAAGTATGTGTAATTTAAGGGAAGTCATGACTTCTTTATCATGTACAACAGCTGGTGTGTTTCATTATGAAGTACAAGAGCCTGTACATTGTTACCAAGGTCATGACCTCTGAATCTATGTATTGTTGCCAAGGGCATGACCTCTGAATCTATGTATTGTTGACAAGGTCATGACCTTTGAACTAATGTATTGTTTGTTATCAAGGTCCTTTAATTTCTGTGATGTACAATTGCTAAAGCTGTGTTTTGTTACCAATATATTGTGTCTATTGAATTAGAAGAGATTCTCCATTATTTGAACACAAAACAATTCTTTAAAAATACCATAAAATGGTTGCCATGTCAACCTGGTTACATTGTTTCCACCCTGTTCGGTATTTGGGCTACCTATACTCCGAGTAAAGGCCTACCACATTTAATGTTTCATTAGGTCCACATTTCAATACTCTTTATTGTATCATGATCATTTGACTATGTGCCATATTGTTAGACTCCATATTCTTACGAGGACACATATTATATATAATAGGCAAACATATCATCACCATTAGAAATAATGACTAGGTCCTGTATATCATGTTGTAGGAATGTCTTTTTGATACCATTACAATGCATGTATAAGCATTCTTGGCCCTGATTGGTTATTAAATATCACTATACTATGACAAGGGGAAGCAAAATAATTTTCTTTAAATTTGGTAAAAACGTTTAAAGACAAAGTTTTAGTTTTAGACTAAGTTAACAGATTTTGTTGTCATAAAGTACATAGTAATATTTGAGTATCTTTGGTAATGACCCTGGCTCTCACATTTACAAGTATTTTGCACAGTATGCTTTAAGCCTTTTTATTTTTTTACTTGAACAATAATTTTTTTTATATTTTCTCAGAATTGAATCATAAATATACTTAAACATATGGCCCCAACATTTATATATGAGCCTTGGAGATTGGAGGTCTCCCTGTAAAAAAATAAGCTTTATAGCCAAAAACCTGGGTCCCAATCAACCACCTAAGGGAAGAAGTTCAGGGGACCCCTTCTAATTTCAGCAGCCTTTATCCCTGGTTAGCTCACCTGGCCCAAAGGTTCAGATGATTGACGTTGACCCATTTTCGAGGTGATGAGGTTTGGCCAGTAGCATGCTTGGATGAAGGGCTAAAACGTTTGCTCAAATGATTAACCTTGACCCACTTTCAAGGTCCATGTTTAAGAACTAAAAAATAAGATGAAATACAATTAAGATTTTGAACACATTAGTCTAAAATCAACAAGTCCAGCTTTAATCCTATCAGCTCTGATAAATTGTTTTGCTGATGATCTTCAAAGTCACTCTGAGTGAGGGTCAAGGTCATACTATATATATATGCAAGACCACACACTTGTTTTTCTAAACCAGAAAGCACTCATTTATTGCGTGGACATATATATTCACTTGTGCGCGGACACAAGTGTAGGGTCTTGCATTTATCACATACCTTCCGTATTTGGTAGAAATTGATACAAAGATTTTATAAACTTTGATATTTTTTGCAAATACCGGAAACTTTTCAGTTCACCATGACAAGAGGATTCCCATAAAAAGTAGTTCCGGCTAGTAGGTAAATACAACATTCCGTATTACACATGTGCAATACAGAACGTTGTATTTCATGGTCTGAAAGTTGGTTGTATTACTATAACAAGATTCAACAGGTATGTGATAAATCACTGAAAGATACACAGTGCCTCGCAAGGACACTGCATGGAGCCAATACAGATTATTTTTTGTTTTATGTGTTGCTATGCTTGTTTTGTTTAGAAAACATATAACAAATTCATAAGAAGTATTATGCAAGCATTTGTTTACCATACATGTATTTTTTATGTACAACTCATTGCATGTTTCAACAGTATAGCAATACCTATAACCATTATAGTGATAAACTCTATACCTTGCTGCTCCACAAATAACATGTGCAATATATGTCGAACATTTCGATTTTGTAGTATCACAAGCTTGTATCATTTACAATGGAGAAGACATTTACATTGCGACTTGTATAGAGGTATTTTAACTTGCTAAAGAGTATTTGTTATGCCTAGCGGGTTTGGCCGTGTATGACTGCTGTGGTCTGTCACCCCAGTCGTGTAAAATGATTAAGGTTGTGTATTGTTTATACCTAGTATACCCACACACAAATTTCAGACTTGTCAATGTACATTAATAGGTCGTTAAACAAAATAAAACCATTATTTTCCTTCTTGAGAGAATTATTCTCGATAAACAGGTTATCAGTGGCAATAATAGACTTGTATGACACACTTAAATGAAAGATTGCTTTTTATGAATTTAAATCCTGGCGTATCCTATCCACAGTACATACTGGTAGTGTAAATGTAGCATGCTCAATCATATGTCTAGTACCATAGAGGTCAGTATCTAGTACCATAGAGGTCAGTATCTAGTACCATAGTGGTCGGTGTCAATTTCTTGCTGTGGCGAAATCTATACTGCATGTCACACATGTATGTCTTGCACAACTGTCTGCATGAAATCATCAATTTAAAACTGGAATGAATTTTAGATCTCCGACTTTTTTAACAAAAAAAGCTTTGTCTTGAATAGCTGGGTTGTATTCACTATGGCTGTCACATGGTCTTGGTAGGTCATGTGACAGTAGATGTTTATACAATGGAGGGAGCTCCAAGTTAATAGACGGCTGGCACATATTTTTTAAAAAAATCTGAAAAAGAGTTGGTGTGATTGTGGATGGCTGATGAATCTGTGGAGAGGCTTCCCTTCATCAGTAGCTCTAGTGAAGGTCAGTGCTGTTTCCCCTACATAACTGTTATCATGGCTTTTGTGATATTTGACCGTACACTTCTGTCTTGGATTTGTCGCCAACTTTTTTAAAGTCTCTGAGGGGGTTTAAATGGTCTATGGTAGAGTTCACCACCTGATGTATTTGAAAACTTCTGTACTTCGACATCCCCGAATATATTTGGAATACTGACCTTGACACGCTCTATTTTTGGTTATTGTTCGTAGACTTATCTTTCCTTAGTAAGTTTTAACATCTACTCTGGGTAATCATTGGTCACATGACCAAGATCATGTAGCAGCCATTGCTGAATATTTCACGGCTATTGAAGACGAAATGATTTAGTGGAAATAAGCTACAGTAAATATGTGTGATTTGATTATTAGAACTAATGTCAATCAGAGAACTCGTACTTGTCTGTCAAATCCATTGTCCAAACTCTACATTGTAGATTAGTTGTGATCAGGTTACCTGTACAGGTGAGACTGGAATTATATATATCACAGGTGTCATCAGCTGGTGCTTTATGTTCAACTGTGTAAATGTGTCCCATTAAATGATACAGTATTTAAATTGTTGACATGTACATATATATAAGTAACAACATCTGTAGTTCTTAACCTGTATTTCTTACTTTGTTCTTTACAACCTGTGGTACATGTCAAATTTAACTTGATGGTAAATGCTGAATTGTGATAACTGGTAGACAGATTCATTGAAAGTTTTATTAGAGGGTATTTTATTTTATTTTATTTCTTCTTCAGAAATCAAATATAATTGGATGGATTCTGGTTGGTAGGATCTGTCGTATGTGTGGGTTGTCTAGTTAAGGTCCACAATACTTTATAGTGTGTGGAAACTGTCTACATTGTTTGTGAAATGTACACCACACTGTTATGTTGCTGACATCCATCAATAAAATAAAACTACAAAGTTATCGGTGCGTTTGTTTTCTTTGTTCTCTGCCACAGTAAAGTGAGCTGCTATAGTCAAACAATTACAGACAACAGAAACCAACTTTTGTCATTGTTTCATTTTTTTTATTTTATAGGTCAACAGGGACTCTGATCAGGGAGCGTTACATTTAGATCGGAACTTTCCCTGATCAGAGGACATTACATTCAGATCCATAAATGGTCTTCTGATCAGAGGAAATTCCGATCAGATCAATGTTTGATAACAATGGACTCGCCATGTAAGATCACATGATACATTGGCTAATCACATGATCTATGGCTTCATCAATACAGTATCGCAAGACAATGTAGTGACATCATTAGCAACTATAACCGCACAAATGTATACGTTATGTGGAGACAAGTCACGATTATATATAAATCTGGTCTTATAACCAGCAGTACTATTGTATCTGCCATTTTGTACAAAGTGCCATTTCACATTACACAAACAGTTAAATCACGTACATGTACATGATATTTTCATGCAATGCCATAACTACAATATATTAATTTATACACAAGTGCTGTTTTGGCAGAGTTATACAGAATGCAATCTTAACGGTTCATACAGAGGACAAGTATCAAAAAGCCTAACAGTAAAACCCTAACGTCTATGTTTATCACAGGATCAAAAACTGAATATTTTAGAAAGATTTCCTCTCCAATAACTTTGACTTCAACCCTATTTTACTGGTATATGCCAATGTTTGGCTGCGAGTCCACCCCATAATAAATGCATTGAATGAACAACATTCTTGAAGTAAGTTTTTTACTTCATATAGAGTTGAATTTCGTAAGCCCAGTATTCTGTTGGTGTGTATACATAGGCAAGTTTAGGTCTCTGGCCGGACACAATAGATCCTGCATTATAACCTGTAGTATCACTATACCTATAACAAGACATCGGCTTTATGAGGAAGACGCTGTATGCAGCATTTCAGCTCAAAGTTCACCAAAATATCTATTTAGTAACATCCGCCATTATCAGGCTATATTTATAACATTGAATCTATGGAGAGTAAAATTATTGCCTTATATCACAAAGTCAACTTGACTGTTACCTTGCTTCCATTCCAGACACCATGCTTCTCAAAAACCACAATTTTCTTTAAATGAGGACATGCTTTACTTTACCTGATACCACCCTTATTTAATAACTGGAGGAAACAACTTCGACAAAAAATAAATATAACAAGGAAAATAGCTTTAAAAGATTCATTGATCCCTTAAACAACTGACATGGTACTATAATAAATTTACAGTAACTGTTGAATAATAAAAATTCATTAATAGGTTATTAGTAGAGGTTAGGGGTAGCGTTACTGTGTAATCCACCTGTACAATATTTGTATACAGTTTGTATATATGTCTGTATTCTACTGTTAAAGTTCCACCACTGTTTTCACCCACATTCAATAATAAGGTTAGCAATTATAGAAATATGTATAATACTTTATATATGTAGAGGATTACACAAAAAACATGGGGAAAAATAATCTTGATCCAACAAATCCCATTAGTTTAAAAATATAGAAAAAAAATATAACACCTTAATATAAAAAGCAGACAGATAAATACCATGTCTAAGAGAGGGACAGGACAGTGTATGGCAAGATCATCTTGTCTTCAGAGGATAACATATTTTCAAAACATGTTTTGGCACCAAATTCATGGCAGAAATTAATTTATCCACCAGCTAAATCCATTACCACTATCAGATAGTAAATATTAAGAAAAAAATGTGCTATATCTTTGTTTTCAGCAGTCATTTTTTATTTTTATTAACAATGATCTGTGTAAATTATAGCGTGATTGTGTTCATGTAAACTTGTATGTTTATGAAAGAGATATAAGACCTTGACCATTGATCTCAGGAAATCCCCCATACATTTCCCTCCCGTAGGAAGGCTATAGAATCAGTAAGATTACTGATATGGGGACAAGGGAAAGGTATGGAGTGGGAGTACATGTACAGTGACTCCAGTTTTATGTAGTAACACTGACCTGTTGAATAACATCTATGTTAAAATCAATCGTGTTAATCTCAGTTCCACAAGCTGCAGAATAATATTCCTATACATGTATAATGTACAAGCAGATCTTCTGATTAAGAGATACAGTGTAATGGAACCAGAGACGGACGGACAAAGTCTCTCCTCCAACACTTGATAATATATGTAAGACAGACATTATCATCATTGTGTAGAATTTACAGTGTATTTTACTCAAAGAGAATAGATATGCTGCCGTCTCCTAAATTAGTGTATCATTATTTTTATAAACAGCTTGGAGTCTGTTTGAAGCAATATATAATTTGATCACTACAAAGCCATCATAAAAAAAGAATGAAATCATTCTTTTACTAAAATAGAATTTCTGCTAAAATAATTATATTTACAGGAATCAAAAAGTAAAATAATCTCACCAGTAAAATTAAACAGTTTAGATGAGGAGCAGTACTTTTTATTAAAATCTTCTTTGCCTACAGGAAATCAGGATACTAGCACAATATTGTAAAGTACTAAAGAAAAGAATTTCGCACAATATTTGTGATGTATTATGTCAGACGTTTAAGAATGATATTTGTAATGACTTATTAAAAATGTTTTAGCATGACATTAGTAATGTATTATTTTTAGAAATTTCAGCATAATATTTGAAATGTCTTCAAACATATTTTTGTAATTTATATGTATTGTTTAAACCAAATTGTTTCAGTATGACATAATGAAAATTAAAGCATTTAGATTTAAAACACAAAGTAATGATGAAAAAATGTGTCAAGAGCTCTTTCGTAATCAGTGAGCAACATATTTGTCATTGGCACAAAAATTGACATAATTTGAAGGAAATCGACAAACACAATCAGTACCAAGAGTGATAAAAATATTCAACAATTTTATGTTAATCAATACTGAATTATTGCACTATTAGGATGGTTCTGGTTGATTAGGAATTCATTGTAAAATGGTGGGTAAACATACTACTGGGTGACCTCTGCAACCAATATTTACCAATATGTGATATAGTGTACCACTTGTGACTTTGGTGATGAGTTGTATCACCTTTTGACCTTGGTAATGAGGCTTACTACCCTTCGACCTTGGTGATGAGGTGTACGACTTGTGACCTTGGTGATGAGGTGTACGACTTGTGACCTTGGTGATGAGGTGTACGACTTGTGACCTTGGTGATGAGGTGTACCACTTGTGACCTTGGTGATAAAGTGTACCACTTGTGACCTTGGAGATGAGGTGTACCACTTGTGACCTTGGTGATGAGGTGTCCCACTTGTAACCTTGATGATGACAGGTACCACTTGTACCCTTGGTGATGGGGTGTACCACTTGTGACCTTGATGATAAAGTGTACCTCTTGTGACCTTGGTGATGAGGTGTACGACTTGTGACCTTGGTGATGAGGTGTACCACTTGTGACCTTGGTGATAAAGTGTACCACTTGTGACCTTGATGATAAAGTGTACCACTTGTGACCTTGATGATAAAGTGCACCACTTGTGACCTTGGTTATGAGGTGTACCACCTTGTGATTTATGTAACAAGATGCGACATCTAGAGCTGAACTAGGTTTGCCACCTTATGCCATTGCTGATGAAAGGTATCACCTTCTGACCTTGGAGATCTACACACACCATATTTGTGCACAATCATGCTACAATATTTATGTAAACTCTATGTTCATATATTAACTTCCATATAGTTTAAGATACAAAATAATTTGTACCATTTTAGTCGTGTCTAAACACACAATTTGTGCACAATCATGCTACAATATTTATGTAAACTCTATGTTCATATATTAACTTCCATATAGTTTAAGATACAAAATAACTTGTACCATTTTAGTCGTGTCTAAACACACAATGCAAATGAGAAGCTATCCTCATGATTATAATGATTTTTTCTATAACCTGTTTTACTATCAAAAACAACACCAGAGGGCTAGCCTAAGTCAAGTTCTCAAAACATAACACTCAAAATCTGTAAATGAATTGAATGATGTATGAAATATAAAATATAAGTTGTAAATATATAGTCTATTGACAATAATTGTGACATTTCTAATTTACAAATAAATGATATAATACACACACAGCATGTAAGGGGACTTAGCCAGAGTTTAGTGAAGAATTTGACCAGGTGGGATGGAGAGATTGGTGGCCCCGAACTGTTCACTGGTGATGACTCATGACGTGGTGAACATGGTCGATTAACCAGAAACATGACTCAGTGCTTACTGGTTTGTTACTAGGTTTGTGACACGATTACGACACGTTCCTAGACATGTTTGTAACATGGTTTGTGACATACCTGTGACGTTTCTATCTGTGACACATTTCAACACATTCGATTCTGTTGTGACACATTAGTGACATGTTTGTGATACAAATTAGATAAGTCACAGTCTGTGATGTGATTTGTGTTACATCATTGTGTTTATGCCATGCATTTTTCTCCAAAGTTTTTCCACACATACAGTCCTCTACCTTGGACAGACCACTAAAACAGACTATACTGTTGAGTGGGAGCCACTTGTTTACCTGTACCAGTAAATAAACAGGTAACAGCCTCTCATTGTGATCAGGGTTGTATCAGTGATACGACCCATTATTACACTGTCTTCTTCATGACCTTCATGTCTAGTTGACAGGATGGATGGGTCAAAGTTCAATATTGGTATATGTGTCTAATGTAAAGGACCTTCTCTTGATCATTAGTTACACTGGTCAGCTGTGCAGGAGACTGGACATACCATTCACTGACAGTGACAGTCCCATTGGTCAACCAGAATGTTGCTCACATTTCGGAAGTGTCCAGACTTTGACGATTCTGTCAATAGTATACTAGACACATAAAAAGCATGTGCCCACACTTTTAGTCTAATAGTAATCTTTGACCATATTAAACTCATAACAACATGTGCCCACATTTTAAGTCCAACAGTAATCTTTAACCTTTTCGAACGCATAAACAACTTGTGCCCACACTTTTAAGTGCTTCAACCATCATTCCAAAGTCTTGCCAGTGGTCACTGGTCGTCATGTTTACGCTGGTTGTCAACAGTCTTTTTGACATCACTAAGTGCCTGTGTTTTGACAAAGTCTATCTCACGGTACTCTGTGGGTGTGGAATGTCCAGTATGGCTGTGCGGTGATCGCATCGCCTCCTTGTCTGACGTGTCATCCAGAGCAAGGTCAAGGTACTTTAGCTCCGCCTCTGGTCGCTTTGGCGCGGGAGGTGTGCTGCCCCACAGATTTGAGCTCTGCAATACATAACAGGTGAAACCTTGTAACAATACTCCTCATAGTGTTAATACAAAAGTATAGGTAAAAGCTGGGAAAAAGGCCCGAAAACTGATAGAAATAAAAATATAGATAGGTCAAAGTAACAATGTTCCCCAGACTGACTAGAAATACATAATATATAGACAGATCAAAGTAAGTCAAAGTAACAATGTTCCCCAGACTGAATAGAAATACATAATATATAGACAGGTCAAAGTAAAAATGTTCCCCAGACTGACTAGAAATATAAACTGACTAGACTGACTAGAAATACATAATATATAGACAGGCCCTAAACTGACTAGAAATACATAATATATAGACAGATCAAAGTAAGTCAAAGTAACAATGTTCCCCAGACTGACTAGAAATACATAATATATAGACAGGTCAAAGTAACAATGTTCCCCAGACTGACTAGAAATATAATATATAGACAGGTCAAAGTAACAATGTTCCCCAGACTGACTAAAATATATAATATATAGACAGGTCAAAGTAACAATGTTCCCCAGACTGACTAGAAATATAATATATAGACAGGTCAAAGTAACAATGTTCCCCAGACTGACTAGAAATATAAATATAGATAGGTCAAAGTAACAATGTTCCTAAAAAGGAAAACAAATATTTAGGTCAATATTTCTCATATTTACAATCTTAACTACCATTATATAAACCTGAGTGTATAAACTCTTTCAATTTGCATTGTATAGAAATTTGGATTATCACATGGATTGATAGACATCTACAATTTGAGTGTATACTTGTTGGAGTGTCCTGTTTATATTGTAAGTATGTCCTGTTTAGATTGTGAGTACGTGCTGTTTAGATTGTGAGTACGTCCTGTTTTGATTGTGAGTACTTCCTGTTTAGATTGTTAGTATGTCCTGTTTAGATTGTTAGTACGTCCTGTTTAGATTGTTAGTATGTCCTGTTTAGATTGTTAGTACGGCCTGTTTAGATTGTGAGTACGTCCTGTTCAGATTGTGAGTACTTCCTGTTTAGATTGTGAGTACGTCCTGTTTAGATTGTGAGTATGTCCTGTTTAGATTGTGAGTATGTCCTGTTTAGATTGTGAGTATGGCCTGTTTAGGTTGTGAGTATGTCCTGTTTAGATTGTGAGTACGTCCTGTTTAGATTGTTAGTACGTCCTGTTTAGATTGTGAGGATGTCCTGTTTAGATTGTGAGTATGTCCTGTTTAGATTGTGAGTACGTCCTGTTTGGATTGTGAGTACTTCCTGTTTAGATTGTTAGTATGTCCTGTTTAGATTGTGAATACTTCCTGTTTAGATTGTGAGTACTTCCTGTTTAGATTGTGAGTACGTCCTGGTGAGTACGTCCTGTTTAGATTGTGAGTACGTCCTGTTTAGATTTTGAGTATGTCCTGTTTGGATTGTGAGTACTTCCTGTTTAGATTGTTAGTATGTCCTGTATAGATTGTGAATACTTCCTGTTTAGATTGTAAGTACTTCCTGTTTAGATTGTGAGTACGTCCTGGTTAGATTTTGAGTATGTCCTGTTTAGATTGGGAGTACGTCCTGTTTAGATTGTGAGGATGTCCTGTTTAGGTTGTGAGTATGTCCTGTTTAGATTGTGAGTAAGTCCTGTTTAGATTGTGAGTATGTCCTGTTTAGATTGTGATTTCGTCCTGTTTAGATTGTGAGTATGTCCTGTTTCGATTGTGAGTCTGTCCTGTTTAGATTGTGAGTACGTCCTTTTTAGATTTTGAGTATGTCCTGTTTAGATTGTGAGGACGTCCTGTTTAGATTGTGAGTACGTCCTTTTTAGATTTTGAGTATGTCCTGTTTAGATTGGGAGTACGTCCTGTTTGGATTGTGAGTACTGCCTGTTTAGATTGTTAGTATGTCCTGTTTAGATTGTGAGTATGTCCTGTTTAGATTGTGAGTACGTCCTGTTTAGATTTTGAGTATGTCCTGTTTAGATTGTGAGTATGTCCTGTTTAGATTGCGAGTATGTCCTGTATACATTGTGAGTACATACATGTCCTCCCTGGCCAGTCAGTACACTGTAGGGCATCATCACCTGGGAAGGGTCACCCAGTACAGGCTCATCTTCCTCCTCTGAGCTCGTAGAGAAATCTGGGTGTCGGTTATTTGACATATAGGGCAGCTGAACTCGCAGCGTTGTTGGGGCTGCTACCCTGCCACTGTCAAAATAATCAACATTTATAACCTTTCTGATTTAATCTAGGAATCAAGTTTACATATGAAAAAAGATGGGGTTGGACTGATTCAGATCCACCATTTATATTTAGATGGTGAGAAGGAATAGAGACTGATAGAATCATCCCCTACATTTTGTGTGTGACAAGAGAAATCTTCAGCCCGAGGGTGAATTTTGGGTTGTCTAACCCGAAGGCTCTGCAGAGGGTTATACAACCAAATTATCATTCTGAGGGTTGAAAATTATTTCTGTTTCACAGTTAAGTAGCTGGGAATGATTATTTTTCTCCCATCCTTTTATTTCAGTCACAATTCCACCAACAGTAGTCTGGCATGTTTGTAAATTAAAGTACATGTGGCGTATGAATATCACCATTCATTTTTTATGCTGTAACTACATCTATCACCATTTACTTTTTATGACATCATAATTGCCATTCACTATTTGTGATGTCACAATTCAACGTGTGCTATTCTCCGCCTAGGAGAAGATGAACAAATCTTTGCCAACTACCACAGGAGACACACCTGTGAAGGGTAGGAGAGTCTCATATCCATCACGGAGACGTCTGGCCGGATTAGAGATTTAGATCATCCACACCTTAGATGTTAAAGAGGATTAGGGACTCCTCAGAGCCAAGGCTATCTAAGCCGGTTTATTGACTCAAGCAACCAAAGCTAAACAAAGTTAAATCTATATTACCACAAAATAGGTTTAAGTTTGTAAGACTAATGAACTTGGACTTCTTGACCCATATAAGAATGAGGTAAAATGTACACGTCCAGTCTGTGCCCTTTAATGCACATTTCAATATAATTTGCTCTATCATATAGAGCTATTTTGCAGAATAAATCCTTTAATGTAGCACCATCTGATCAGAACATACTGACGGATCATGATATCAAAATCGCATAGACCTCAAATACACTTCATAGCAGTTATTTTTAACTTTAGTTTTTTTTCTGTACAGTTTATTTTGGCTTTATTGTTTAGATTGTTGATTTGTGTTAGTGTCAATATTGATAGTAGAGCTGATTTTGGTTTATTGGTAGTTTTATGTCCTTGTAAAAGATAAAGTCTTATGAAGAGGGAGTAGTGCTGGAAATCTGTTGGTACAATTGATCAAATATTGATCAATGATCAGTTCAGAGACCATGCTTAATTCATGATATGATCAGTCAATATTTAAATTGTTTTTCTTTTCTGCTGCAAAACACATTATCTTAACACAAATGGGAAAGGCAGTTTTTGAATTTTCTTTCTTTTTCTTTTTTATTAAAGTGCCATTGAAATAATTCAACCTTCTTAATAGATTTAAACTTCATTAAATGCTTTTTTCTCAAACCTGATAATGACAATCTACATTGATCACCGATATAGATGGACTTATGATACTCAGTGTAAACAATCAGTTCATACCTAATCACGACAGAACAGGTAGAATGTTGGAGGACCAGCTAGCCAGTAATAGTACGATCTACATGTTGGTCTTACTCTTCAGATTTCTGTGCCACAATTATGTATTTTATGAGACAGTTCAAGGATATATCTGTAATTTGTGAAGGAGCTAAGGACCTATGCTATCTAACACATAACATAGATTTTACATTATAACTGTGATGCACCTTAAAAGTTAAAGATGAATGCAACTTTACTGTAAAACATTACAATATATGCCTGTTATTTGCGTTAGGATAGGTATATGAAACTAGTACACATAATAACATACTCTGTGACAAGAGTTCAGGATGTATGGTTTGGTCGACGTTTTACGTCTTACTAACAGATAGGGTCATTTAAGGACGTGCCTGGTTTTGGTGGTAGAGGAAAACTGGAGAGCCTGGAGAAAAACCACTGCCCTCTGGCCAGTACATTGTGACTGCCCCATGTATAGGCCTCACCCCTATGACCCAGTGGTAGAGGACTAGTGATCACAGACAGTCAGACGCCTTAACTACTCGGCCAAAGATGTATGGTGACTTACATGAACACATAATTTATGATCATTACAGTGTAGTCTTTGATAGTAACTTATGTTAATTAAAATCCATGATCCTGGCTTTAAACAGGGTTACAAGATTGACGGTTAAAATTCAAGGCTTTTTAACTTAAGGATTTTTCAAGATTTCTTTATATAAAATTGAAGGGCTAAAAATTACAGATAGATCATCAATTCTTCATAAATCTTGGTTCAAGTTGAATCTTTATTCCGTTTACTCTCTCCAGCTGCTTAGTTTTTTCAGTGTTTCAAAGACAAAGGAAGATAAACTCTGCAAGACACAACTGCATCTTAATCTTTTGAACTGAATTCATTTTGGCCTTTAGAAGTTTTAACTGACTTATCAAAACGGATGCTCAAAGCTTCAATCAATTGATAATTCTATGTCTCCTATTTTGCTGAAGTCTACTGTCTTGTTAAAGCTGATAGTGCAAGTTAAAAAGCTTTCAATTGAGATTAAAAAAGTTTTTTTTCTGGTTTTGAGATCTTCCCCATCTCTTCTGACTATCGTTTCTAAGAAACCGACATTTTAGTTTGTCCTTGCTTGGTAACAAGAATGGGTCAGCGCGCAGACACTTCCCCACAATTGACATGATTTTGTTTTAAGGTTTTACAAGACAATCATCAAACTCTACTTTGTCTCAAGACATGAGCAACCTCTTTAGTAAGATCACTATACACTAATGTATGATCATCACAAATAAATCTATTACTGTACTTTTTAATATATGATCAATACTCACAAATTTATCATTGTTATTATGAATTTATGTACGTGTACTTACAAATATATTATAATTACTTGTAGATCTATGAAAGCTATGTATAAATCTACAATTGTTTCATATAAATCAATGATCATGAACTACAAACATATTATTGTTACTTGTAAATATATCATTGTTATGTTTAAATCTATGATCATTACTTGTAAATTCTTATAAATCTATGATCATTACTTGTAAATTCTTATAAATCTATGATCATTATTTGTAAATTCTTACTTGCTTTAACATAAATCTATGATCATTCTTAATTTATTTATTAACTACCTTGGTAAGCTCAGTAAAGTATACATTAAATGATCCTCTGTCTGGAGCTCTCTGGGAAAGGAGGTTTAATAGTATGATAGTTTACATCCTTAAGCTTTAATATAGGTATAGGCCTATAGGATGGTTGGTTGGGTGGACAGTTCTAGCTACATTTACAAGCAGGCGGTGCTGTGATTACCTGTGGTCAATACAGTTGTTACGCTTGAAGCTGCGTGTTCGAGCATTACTAAATATTGTGTAGGTGTCACCTTCTGAAACAGCAAAAAATAATAAAGAATATTAACAGTCAAAAACAATAAGCAGACACTGATAGTGATGACCAGGTGCAACTAGTGGTCTGATCAAGTAATTTTACATTTAATTAGAACACTGACAGGTTAGCAAGGGCTGACCATATTAAACCCCCATTGTCTATTTTTAGTAAATGATCTTGACCTAAAAACCCTTTTAACCTGTAATGCAATTCTACATACCAGAGTGAATTACCATGTTAAATTTCAAAAAGGTTATCTGTAACATTGACCTTGACCTTGACCTAAACAACTTTTTCATCCCCTTACACACATTTACATATCACATGTGAATTTCAAAATATTAGTCTTTTGGATTCCGAGATGATGACCTTATATTAACCCCCATAGGCTTTTTTAAGGAACAGTGACTTCAATCTTGACCTGAAAAAGTGTTTAAGTCCCTGTTTTAAACCTAAATCACAGAGTATCACCATGTCAAGTTCAGGAAGATAAGTCTTTTGGATACTAAGATAAGTGTGGAGGGACAGACAAACAGACGAATACTGATAACTATATAGCTCCCGCGTTTCTGAGGTCAGCCCTGCTGAGTCAACCAGTCCTCTGGTCCACTGGATTTACTTTTCATAGCTAATGGCTGAAAATTCTGCATGATATTTTCAACATCATGTGTGTTTGAGGTTTTAAAAACATGTTGATATTGTCATAGCCATTGTTAAGTCAACAATAATACACCAGACTGGGCAGGGTAACAGAGTACCATGTTAATACACCATACTAGGCAGAGTAACAAAGTACCATGTTAACACACAAGACTGGGCAGGGTAACAAAGTACCTTGTTGATACACCAGACTGGGCAGGGTAACAAAGTACCATGTTAATCCACCAGACTGGGCAGGGTAACAGAGTAGGTACCATGTTAATACACCAGACTGGGCTGAGTAACAAAGTACCATGTTAATACACCAGACTGTGCAGAGTAACAAAGTACCATGTTAATACACAAGACTCGGCAGAGTAACAAAGTACCATGTTAATACTCCAGACTGGGCAGAGTAACAAAGTACCATGTTAACACACAAGACTGGGCAGGGTAACAAAGTACCTTGTTGATACACCAGACTGGGCAGGGTAACAAAGTACCATATTAATACACCAGACTGGGCAGGGTAACCGAGTACCATGTTTATACACCAGACTAGGCAGGGTAACAGAGTACCATGTTAATACCCCAGACTAGGCAGAGTAACAAAGTACCATGTTAACACACAAGACTGGGCAGGGTAACAAAGTACCTTGTTGATACACCAGACTGGGCAGGGTAACAAAGGACCATGTTAATAAACAAGACTGGGCAGGGTAACAGAGTACGTACCATGTTAATACACAAGACTGGGCAGAGTAACAAAGTACCATGTTAATACCCCAGACTGGGCAGAGTAACAAAGTACCATGTTAACACACAAGACTGGGCAGGGTAACAAAGTACCTTGTTGATACACCAGACTGGGCAGGGTAACAAAGTACCATATTAATACACCAGACTGGGCAGAGTAACAAAGTACAATGGTAATACACCAGACTGGGCAGGGCAACAAAGAACCATCTTAATACACCAGACTGGGCAGGGTAACCGAGTACCATGTTTATACACCAGACTAGGCAGGGTAACAGAGTACCATGTTAATACACAAGACTAGGCAGGGTAACAGAGTACCATGTTAATACACAAGACTGGGAAGGGTAACAAAGTACCATGTTAATACACCACACTGGGCAGAGTAACAAAGTACCATGTTAATACACCCGACTGGGCAGAGTAACAAAGTACCGTGTTAATACACCAGACTGGGCAGGGTAACAGAGTACCATGTTAATACACCAGACTAGGCAGGGTAACAGAGTACCATGTTAATACACCAGACTAGGCAGAGTAACAAAGTACCATGTTAATACACAAGACTGGGCAGGGTAACAAAGTACCATGTTAATACACCAGACTGGGCAGGGGAACAGAGTACCATGTTAATACACCAGACTGGGCAGGGTAACAGAGTACCATGTTAATACACCAGACTAGGTAGAGTAACAAAGTACCATGTTAATATACCAGACTGGGCAGAGTAACAAAGTACCATGTTAATGCCACACCAATCTTTTGTCCACTGCTGAATACGTACATGTCTTGTGTTTTTGTGGACAATATTATGGTAAATTTATCATTGATTTTGTCTTCAGCTTACACCTGTTAGTTAATTAGTCTATAAATTCAGCAAAACATAAGCAAACTGAATATATACCGACTTCTACAGAAAGAAACCTTGAGCGAGTGGTTCAGTGAAACCTCCATGTAATACCTCCTGATTCATTTGCCCCGTTATCACAAACATACATCAATGTCCATTCTTCCTTTCTGTTTCTCAATATACTGTCAAACTGTTATAAAACAGCAAGGAATTGAGTATTTACTTTCACACTATTGGTATAAAAACAGACCTAAAACTATTATAAATGCAGTACTAAAACCGCATTGTGGCCAGGTAAATGGAATGACGATACTGACCTGTACGTGTCATTCCTTCATGGCCGAGGTCGTTGTTGTTCCTTGGTGATAGCCTTGGGGGGAGGCCAGGTTTTGGTGGGGTATCGTAGTCTGATGACATGTCAGTGTAGTTCACAGGAGACGTGGGTATACGTGACATGTCAGAATACGCACTTTTGTCTAAAGAGTCACTTGGGGGAAAGGCACGCTCCATAGGCAGGTATGCATCTTCTACCTTGTCCTTGGGAGTGGGGAGATACCCCCGGGCAGCGTTAATGTAGCTATGGGACGACGGGCCTGCACAGGACTGGGGGGGAGGAGGTATTGCCAGCAGATTTGAGTCTTTTTTTGGTCCGCCATTCTGTTGTGGTTTTGGCATGTCATAGAGAGACAGTTTGCGAAGGGTGTTTTGTGGCCGAGGTACATCGTAACTCTGGCCCGCTGGGGCTCCATCAGACGTTGTGGGAGGTACAACAACATTTAGGTCCATACTGATTTGTTTGTGCTCCTTTACAACTGCACTGTTGGAGGGCAAGTTCTGATAGGGCTCTTGGCTAAGGGCTGATGTCTTTGGGGGTCGGGGAGGGGGTACATCTGACTGAGATTGTATCATCTGGGGGTTGGGTGGTGGGAAGTCATACACCTCATCAGATGTAGGTCCTCGGTCAGGGTGGGTCGGGGGATAGTCATATGTGAGGCCTGTCAAGGCAGACTGGGACGAGTAAGCCGAGTCCTTCTGGCTCTCACTGCTGGATGAGCGTGGAGTACTAGGGGACTGACGTGCTGGAGGAGGGATGTCGTACACCTCAAGAGTGGACCCTTCCTCCCGTCGAGGGGGAGGCACTTTGTACACAGAGTCTGTATCATCCTCTCCACTGCGCTGTTTAGGACTGTCATATGTCTGTTGGAACACACTGTCATCCCCCTCAGGGAGAGGGGCTGGAGCCTTAGGGGTTTTCAGAGGAGGTGGAGGAGCGAGCTCATCTGGTATGCTTGAACGACGTGACTTTTCACTAAGGCAATCCGATAGTGGTATGTAGTGAGAGCCGGACTTGGAGTTGGTCCGCCCAATAGACCGCCCACGCATCCTCACATCTTGCTGTGGCTGGGACATTACAGTCTGAGACCTTTGTGGACGGGGTGGCACCACAGCCACAGGTGCTGCCGTAGTGTTGCTATTGTCATGGTTTCTTGGGCTATCTGGTTTCTCCGGGGGCAAGTCGGGACCTGAAAACATATACAAACAGCACTCTATGTTTAGCATTTTTTTATAATACATTTTTGCAAATAAGTTATTTCATCTCTTTGATAAAACATTTATCTCTACATTTAAGTAATGGACTCCCCTGTGGTCACAATATCTGAGGCAAATGAGGGAACTTGTACTGACACGGTACTTTCCTCATCTGAAGCCACACAAATAAGGGAGTATATACTAACTGTATTCCAGAATTCACAATATCTGAAGCATTCACTTAAACCTGTAATTATTTTTCTCTGACTAGAGGGATCACAACTCCTGAGACAGATTCTAAACAATCCAATGACCGAATAATGTGATTGGGTCAGGTATCATTCATTATGTCCAGGTTATGATGTTTCAGTGAGATTACCCTTAAAAACAACCCTTGAGTGGCCCCAATATCTGTCAACACCATTGTCGTATGACCTCCGCTGCTGTAAAGATACACAATATGTACCTCGCAAACAAACAATGAGACAGTGGAGGAAGGCATACTTACTTTCCTCTGGCTTGAGGCCACAAACACTGCACAAGTTGCGGACCCAGGTGGTCATCTCATCTTCTGTATCAGTAGACAAAAAGTAAGTGCGTTCTCTGCCCTTGTGGAAAGTCTTTAGTGCCAGTAGAAAGGGAAATATGTCGAGGTCGAGGGATTCAATAACCTGTTCACAGTGCTCAAGGTCTATACATCCCTTGAGTTTTTTACAGTTCTCATCGGTATAGTAATTCAGGAGGTACTGGTGAGGAAGGCTGCTTGCTGGCTTGAACAACACGAAGAATCGTCGCTTCCACTTCTGTCAACAAGAGCAACCCAGCATAAACAGTTAATTCTACTCTACAATTACAGCTAACTAATAACATTACACCCAAGTACAATCAGGTACAACTACATTCTAATATTCTAATAAATCTCCAACATATATATATATAAATCTACAACTAAATCTAATGTATAATACACCTAGAACTACAACTTATATTTAATACACTTAATATATAATACACCTTCAACTACAACTAATATATAAATCTACAACTATACCTATATGTAATATATGTATATGTAATACATGTATACACATCTACACCTTAAATGCACACCGACAACTACACCTAATGCATACACCTACAACTATATACATAATATATAGACTAAAACAAACACATCTATACAACAACACCTCAAATGTACACCAACAACAATATACATAATATATTAACTACAACATACACATCTATACAACAACACCTCAAATGTACACCAACAACTATATACATTATATATAGACTAAAACATACACATCTATACAACAACACCTCAAATGTACACCTACAACTATATACATTATATATTAACTACAACATACACATCTATACAACACCTCCTCAAATGTACACCTTCTACTAATGTAAATACAAAAAACTAAAATTAATACACAATCCTACAACAAAATCTAATACATGTACACATACAACTACACCTAATAATACAACAGACTAAACATCATATACAATCCTACATACAACTACACCTAATAATACCACAGACTAAACATCGTACACAATCCTACATACAACTACACCTAATAATACAACAGACTAAACGTCATACACAATCCTACATACAACTACACCTAATAATACCACAGACTAAACGTCATACACAATCCTACATACAACTACACCTAATAATACCACAGACTAAACGTCATACACAATCCTACATACAACTACACCTAATAATACCACAGACTAAACGTCATACACAATCCTACATACAACTACACCTAATAATACCACAGACTAAACGTCATACACAATCCTACATACAACTACACCTAATAATACCACAGACTAAACGTCATACACAATCCTACATACAACTACACCTAATAATACCACAGACTAAACGTCATACACAATCCTACATACAACTACACCTAATAATACCACAGACTAAACGTCATACACAATCCTACATACAACTACACCTAATAATACCACAGACTAAACGTCATACACAATCCTACATACAACTACACCTAATAATACCACAGACTAAACGTCATACACAATCCTACATACAACTACACCTAATAATACCACAGACTAAACGTCATACACAATCCTACATACAACTACACCTAATAATACCACAGACTAAACGTCATACACAATCCTACATACAACTACACCTAATAATACCACAGACTAAACGTCATACACAATCCTACATACAACTACACCTAATAATACCACAGACTAAACGTCATACACAATCCTACATACAACTACACCTAATAATACCACAGACTAAACGTCATACACAATCCTACATACAACTACACCTAATAATACCACAGACTAAACGTCATACACAATCCTACATACAACTACACCTAATAATACCACAGACTAAACGTCATACACAATCCTACATACAACTACACCTAATAATACCACAGACTAAACGTCATACACAATCCTACATACAACTACACCTAATAATACCACAGACTAAACGTCATACACAATCCTACATACAACTACACCTAATAATACCACAGACTAAATGTCATACACAATCCTACATACAACTACACCTAATAATACCACAGACTAAATGTCATACACAATCCTACATACAACTACACCTAATAATACCACAGACTAAATGTCATACACAATCCTACATACAACTACACCTAATAATACAACAGACTAAACATCATACACAATCCTACAACACAATCCTACATACAATCCTACAGCTACATGTACACCTGATAAACATCACGTATATCTGTACCCCAAACATGACAGTGATTAATCATGACTGTGCAGATATACAATATGACACAAGTATGACTTTATATATTGTATAAGGTGATATGTTTGCATATACAAGAAAAAAAGATAAGGATAGAACAAGGAAGGCAGGTAAAGAATGAGACAGTGAAGGACAGAAAAGGTTATATAATTAGCATATAAAGCTTTCAGGGAGTCTTGAAATATTTCATTTCTCACATACAACTTCCTCTTCATACTTTCTTTGCACATGTACATCTTACCAGATCTCAGGTCAACATGCTTAAGTTTATAACCATGGAATATACAACTTCCAACAGTGACAGATATATGGCCCCCACTCCAACTACACATCTGATCCCCCCCCTACAGTACGTTGAACAGGGTTTCAGATCCTGTTTAGTCACCAAAGTATTTTCAACTTCCCACATTGACAGATTTTCTCCACCCCAGCCACACTTGTACCCCAGCCCCTACAGTAGGTCCTTCCTGGTAATAACCACAAGGTTTCCACCCTCTCCCACCCCAAGTATAACCCCTATAACATGTTACTGATGAGGCTGGTACATACATACAGACATAACAATGTATTATGTTACCTTCAACACTTTACTTAAACTTCCTGGCCTATCACTAACCTCTCAAGGAATCGTGTTCTCAGTCTCACAGGCTGACTTCTCATCTCCCAGTCATGAAATCATGCTTTCCAGTGATGACAAGATCATGCTACTAGTATCTGTATATGTAAGTTTTTTTACCTATATATATATCTCCTCCATTATAATGTATACATCTCAGTAATATAATTCACCCGACACATTCTGTGTGTGTGTGTGTCCTGTTACTACCATCATACAGCTGATGATACCTAGTGTTAATTATACAGGCAACACATATAGTGACACACACACGTACAGCGGCCCCAGTACACTGCACCCTCTGTACATCCAGGGGTAACCACTCTCTCCCACAAATCACCAGAGGGGCATCATCAACACAGTCTCACTGCTGTTGTCAGTGATGATGACATCACAACACTGGCATTGTCTTTCCAGCCATCACAACAAACTTCCCATCGTTTCTCCCATGTAAGGTGTGTCAACTCGCCCATGCTGTTTATGTCTTATTTGTCCAGGTGATTCTAGTCTGCTTCACTTGAGTAAACATTCACATTTCCTTGTTCCTCATCATAATACTAAGTGTTACAGCTTCCTTCTGGTAGAGAGGTGTACATGACAAGAAACAACATGGTGTTAATTAATATTCAGGGACCTTAATCATAGTTATTTCTGTATAGTTACATGGAGAAGGGCTGGGAGGGGAAACAGAAAAAGTTAAAGAAGAAAATTGAGTTAAAGGAATATAATTGGGGGATTTAAGGACAAGAAAAAAAAGACATCATATTAAAGTTAAGATGAAGAGAGAAAGGAATGGGGGGGGGGGGGGGGGGGGGAGGAGATGATAAATAGAAATTAGTGGGAGGAGGAAAAGAAAGGAGTCGAAGAGATATGTTTGATAGTACTTTAAAACAACTATACATTTTTACAACTGTACAATAGTAAATACATGCATACACAATTCGCTCAATGTAAAATCATAATTGATCACTATGAAGTACATCAGTACCAGAACACATTTCAACACCTGTAAACAATTGACAGTTCATTGTACAGTAAGCTTGGATCTGTATCCCAAATCTGTGGTCAGGTGATCAATCTACAGTAAGCAAGGCTACCCCAATCCTAGTAAAAGTACTGTCAATTCTTTGTTTATTTCAGTTATTTAGCACTTTAAATTAGCTTCCCTTGATGAATATATAGAAACCCAAGAGACAGAATATAGACATTTATTACATGTAAACATATACAGGTAACTGTTTCTTCTGTGTTTGTTCATACACAGTATAAAATATTGTATACAAAAATGTATATAAAATGTCGGTATAGCTAATGTGAAAGTGAATATGTAATAACCACTTCAATTAATAACTGTTACGCATGATACAAAAAGAACGCAAAACAAAAAGTTAACTGTGAACCAGGAAACCCTTTTAGGTATTACACACTGCAGGTGTGAAGGCGTTACAGGAGAGACCGGGTCAGGAGGATGGTCAGTAAGTGATGTAATCAGGTATTAGCCACCGCCACAGGGCTGTTATGTGTAAATCTATGAGTCTTCTTACAAACACCACTTTGTTAAACAGACATTAGCAACTTTATTTTTTCATATTTTGATTAAATAATATAACATTTCCTGGAAATGAGATTTGAAATTGTACAAAAAAATAAAATAAAAATAAGTGTGTTTCACTTCTTCCTATAAATCCTAAAGTTTGAACGACAACCATACATTTTTGAACTCATTTAAGATCAGTACAGCGGATTCCACTGAAGTTAAAACCGACTTTTATTCAAAAATGATATTCTTCATTAAAATTAAGATTTAAAGCTCATCAAGTAACATCCTGCATCTAACCCTGATGTAAAATTAGTTCATAAAAACAATGATTTTCTTTCATGTGACCTAAATTAAATCTTTTACAATGTGGAATTTGAAACATGCAGTTTATTAGGCCTAGATATCATTTTTACATGTGATCCAATGGATGTCACCAGGAGGTTATTTCTACACTTACTTCGTTAATATAAGTGTACTTTCATATTATTCTTGTCTTTCATATTATTTATATCTTTCATATTATTCATATTATTCCTATTATATATGTAATTTTCAACTCTAAATAAGGTCTTTTCTGTTGTAATAAAATGTATTTATTTCTGGTTTTATTTAAATGACAATGTTTAAGTTTTTAACATTTCTTCAATAAAGGATATTTCAAGCTAAATATTTCAATAAGTATGTCCCAGTAACACATACATGTAAGATATATATCTTATTACATTTTTGACTCTTGATCACGTTAAGATAACAAGAGGCCCAATTGGCCTGCATCGCTCACCTGGTATAAAACTCACACTTGTAACCTTAAAAGTAATCTAAAATAAAGCTACAGGCAAAATGTCAGTATTTATGATTAAAATTCATTCAAAAGACCATGTAATTATTTTTTAAAACATTTCACCCCTGTGATTGAAAGTCGAACAAAGTCATTATGTTGAACACATTGTATAGCCTTTCATCTCAGGATGCAACTTGCAAAGTATAAACATCCTGGGACCCATGGTTATTCATAAGAGGTTGTTTAAAGATTTTAAACAAATTTAACCCCTGTGACCTTGAATATAGGTCAAAGTCATTCACTTTAACAAACATAGTAGTCCTTGATCCCAGCATATGCTACTGACTAAATATCAACATCCTGAGCCTTTTGGTTATTCAGAACAAGTTGTTGAAATATTTTGAACATATTTTCTCCTTGTGACCTTGAATATGATTCAAGGTCATACATTTAAACAAACTTGGAATCCTTTGATCCTAGTATGCTACTGACTAAATATCATCACCCTGGGCATTTTGGTTATTCAGAAGAAGTTGTTTAAAGGTTTTTTAAGACAATTGACCCCTGTGACCTTGAATATAATTGAAGGTCATTCATTTGAACAGACTTGGTAGCCCTTCATCGCTACAGGCAAAATGTCAGTATTTATGATTAAAATTCATTCAAAAGACCATGTAATTATATTTTAAAACATTTCACCCCTGTGATTGAAAGTCGAACAAAGTCATTATGTTGAACACATTGTATAGCCTTTCATCTCAGGATGCAACTTGCAAAGTATAAACATCCTGGGACCCATGGTTATTCATAAGAGGTTGTTTAAAGATTTTAAACAAATTTAACCCCTGTGACCTTGAATATAGGTCAAAGTCATTCACTTTAACAAACATAGTAGTCCTTGATCCCAGCATATGCTACTGACTAAATATCAACATCCTGAGCCTTTTGGTTATTCAGAACAAGTTGTTGAAATATTTTGAACATATTTTCTCCTTGTGACCTTGAATATGATTCAAGGTCATACATTTAAACAAACTTGGAATCCTTTGATCCTAGTATGCTACTGACTAAATATCATCACCCTGGGCATTTTGGTTATTCAGAAGAAGTTGTTTAAAGGTTTTTTAAGACAATTGACCCCTGTGACCTTGAATATAATTGAAGGTCATTCATTTGAACAGACTTGGTAGCCCTTCATCGCTACAGGCAAAATGTCAGTATTTATGATTAAAATTCATTCAAAAGGCCATGTAATTATTTTTTAAAACATTTCACCCCTGCGATTGAAAGTCGAACAAAGTCATTATGTTGAACACATTGTATAGCCTTTCATCTCAGGATGCAACTTGCAAAGTATAAACATCCTGGGACCCATGGTTATTCATAAGAGGTTGTTTAAAGATTTTAAACAAATTTAACCCCTGTGACCTTGAATATAGGTCAAAGTCATTCACTTTAACAAACATAGTAGTCCTTGATCCCAGCATATGCTACTGACTAAATATCAACATCCTGAGCCTTTTGGTTATTCAGAACAAGTTGTTGAAATATTTTGAACATATTTTCTCCTTGTGACCTTGAATATGATTCAAGGTCATACATTTAAACAAACTTGGAATCCTTTGATCCTAGTATGCTACTGACTAAATATCATCACCCTGGGCATTTTGGTTATTCAGAAGAAGTTGTTTAAAGTTTTTAACATATTTGACCCCTGTGACCTTGAAAATAGGTGAAGGTCATTAATTTTAAACAAACTTTGTAGTCCTTTATCCAAGTTTGCTTCTGGCCAAATATCGACACCCTAGGACCTTTGGTTATTAAGAAGAAGACTTTTAAAGTAAAATATTGACGCCGGACGCCGGACGCCGGACGCTGGACGGAAGGACGGCCGGACGACGGATGTCGCGCCACGGCATAAGCTCACTTGGCACTTCGTGCCAGGTGAGCTAAAAATAGACCCATACATATGCATATATGTACTATTAAATGTTGATATAATTTTAAGGACAATTTTTCCTATTTGAAACAATAAATAAATGAAATGATGCAACACATAAAAAAACCAACAACACTGAATCAAACAATTAAAGAGAGAAAACCAAACACAAAGGACATGCTCCATTGGTCGACTCACCAGGCCACATCATCATGCTTCTTCCTGATGCTTATTAAGATCAGTCACTGCGTAGGACATGCACATATTACAAACTTTTTACAGAGCATGTTCACAACACCAGCCATAGTTTAACAGTTTTGCACAGGAATACATCGAATACAGACAACAGATCATACTAGTTCTCCTAACTTTATTGACTTTGATCTAAATTTCATACAGTTTTAAAACGAATATCTTAATAATACTTGTGTAATGAATTGAACAGTGATTTTTTAATAGGAATTTATTTAGTAAAAAACAACAACTTTGGAAATGATTTCAAACTAAATATGAAGTGCTATAGTCATACAAACATGAATACTGTTATTTATAATTTCAGGTTTAATATCTATTATTTATATAATATTATGATAAAGTAATAAAACATACATAGCAGAGTCTAGAAGATGTACTAGAGAATACGACGTGCAACAATGAGCATTCCACGTAACAGGCTGATGGTGCCAACAGTGCTTGCATAAAGCTTGTTAATATTACACTTTCCCAGGAGGTAAGAATAAAAATTAACAAAAACAATTTGCCATGCAGTAGTTGTAATAAGGAGAAGTGTGCTACACCAAGGGAACACTCAGACCACTAACATACAGCCAATCCAAAAATAAACTTCTTACAAAAAACACTCATACACAAGATAACTTACGCTGGTGTCAGTATCATCTTTGGTAAACTGTCAATTTGAAGAAAAAACAGAAATTGACATGAGAGTTTATAACAGAAATAAATTAGAATCACAGTAGTGGATGTCGAGTTACAGACCATAAACACAGTGGCTATCAGGATGTAATGCGTCAGCCAGGAAGGGGTCCCTAACTAAGACCAGGTTTCATCCTATTGTGCAGGAAAGAAGGTTTTAATTATGGGGGAGACTATTGGAAGTCTGCCATGCAGTTTTAATTATTTGTCCTTATTGACATTGAGACAGGAGGACAGGAGGTAGGTGTGGCAAAAATGCAAGGGGAAGGCAAGGTCACCCGGGGGAGGTAACTCTAGATGTATAGAAAGTCCAATACTTGGTGAAATATCAGCCTGGTTAATAGGAATGCAGTTTGTTAATTGATAATGAGAGTATTAAAATATCCAGATGCTAGAGTATTGTATAAATGTCAATCTGATTGGTCATGATCATGTCCTGTAACAAAATTGAATAGTGACCTTGATGAATTATACAGGCATAGCAGATCCTTGTTAGTTGAATTAGGACATTATACATGTATGTTCATTTTTTATAGTCAAGAAAAAATGAAGAAAAAAAACTACATTATTTGTAGGCTGAGGGACAGATTTTTTTACATGTAGAGCAACATTATTTTCTGGCCTGGTCGACGCTAGGCTACTAGTGTATATATATATATATATGTGTAAAATATATCACGCATATATAATTATACATGCATATGATCTCATATGATCTATATTTCTCCCACTGCTACAGATTTTATAACTCCCTGCTTCATTTAGAAAATATTAATCCTGCATAAAGTTATGTCACAAATGACTGCCATGTAAGTCATACAATGTGATAACATGATCTACCGACGGCTGTCATAGTATAGAATAGACATAATATTCAACAATTATTTATTGTTTAATATCATCTAACCAGACAAGACATCTTGAAACTTGATTATATTTCAAAATCAATTACACTTACCAATCAACAAGAATTCCACAATAAATCCTTCAACAATACAAATCAGTGTATTGACTGGAAACAAGTGTTATGAATATATACATGTAATAATCCACACATCTTGGGCACTGGCCGGTAGATAGAACATGGTCCCTTACCAGCAGTCACAGAATCTCTAAACACTAACTTTAATGCTATCTATATATATCAGGGAGCATCCCTTCAACCATCAATCCTCAGTATCTAAATCAATGACTGGCACATTTCATAGCAACTTTACAGGGGTGTAAGACTGTAAGCTGTAGCCACGATTACCACATGTCACTTTCCAATCACCAGTAAATGAATGATTGGCAGATGTGCATTTCTAGTCGAGACCTCCTGATTTACTCATTCTCCTGTCCTCCAGACCTCAATGTGTTTCTATGATAACTCTTACATTAAAATCAGTTTCTTTATCACATGAAAATAAATACAATTTCACATCAACAACAGGTGACGGGCGTGGATGTGAAGTAACGGGAGACGAAATACCTGTGAAGTATTATCAGTGAGAGATTGATTCTGTAATGGTTAGTCAGCTTAAGTTGAAATAATTGATACAGAAATAACACTCATATAAACAAGTATGGTTCCATACACTGCAGAATTACAACATACTAGAAAGTTATCACAACTTTTATGATATCACAGCTTTAAAACATTGATTTTGGAAGGAAAATATCATCAAATCAATTTCAAGATAATTCAACCAGACTCAACAAAATTTATTTTTTAAAACTGGGAATTTTTAGTTAAAACTTCACAGGTAAACAGTGGCCAGGTGAGCGTGAAGCTCACCTGGCCCGTGTGACAGATTGCAGACGAGAAGTTCTAAACACTTGAAATGGCAGGTAAAACTTTGACATAAAAGCTGGGCAAACGCTCTGACACACACAATCAACAGTCACCGGCAACTGTTGGCAGGAAAAAACACTACAAAGAAACTAAATCTCCTCAATAAAGGCTCCCACTTAAATAAAATGATGCAGAGATGTTATTCCTGATTAAGCCTTGATTTTCTTTGTGCTGAAATTTAAAAACGAACCTAGGACTTTGTTCTTTTAACTTCTTTTGTCTTTTTAACATTTACAGTATCATGGCATTATTTTTCTTTTGAAGATAAAATTTCATTAAATTTACTTAAAATATATGGAGGTACCGGTAGCCAGTAAATGTCACTGCTATCGTTCACAATTTCAAATCACTGTTATTTAGTTCTTCAGATAAAAATTAATTTAAATCAAATTAAAACAAAACTATTTTTACGAACCAAGACCTATCAACTTTTCCTCCTAGGAATATTTATGTTTATTATGGGTAAGCCTATTATGATCTTGTAGTTAAAACGAGATTCTCTATACAGCTTAAGATTATATAGATAACGTACACAGAAATGTTAAAAATGAACATTTGAAAAAAAGCAAGCCAATTTCCTTACACATTAACACAACAAGAGGCCCAGACAGCCTGTATGGACCACCTGGATATTTAAGCAATCATGATAAATATTCTCATTAAAAGTAAAAATATTTCCACATTTTGGGCTCCATCTCTCTAGTCCCAAGGGATTTATATGCATGGCTACTTAGAGTTTGATCTAGCCATTTTCATGTAATGACCTGGGGGGGGGGTAAGTTCCTGGGGACAGGGCCAGATCCTTAGGCTAATTATAGTAGTGTGCTTGTGTTCTTTCTTCATGCCCAAGTAGCAAACATTCAACACCATAAATGGTTATATGATGGGGATCTAAAATGTTTCCAAGTTTTAACCTAAGAATTAAGTAAAAAAAAAAGTTTCGCATTACTGCTGTACTGTATCCAAGTATCATGGCTCTTGATCTTATGATTCTTCAGGTATGTTGGTTGAATTTCTTAACATCTGGCCCTATGACCTTCAAAGTAGGTCAAGGTCACTAAAAATGAGGAAAATTTACAGCTTTACATCCCTGTAGGTAAAGTACCTACTGGTAATATATCAGGACCCTGAGCCTTATCAAACTTAAAAGTGCTTTATTGTTTTTACTGATGTTAGCCTACCTGGATATGTTACCCTTTGACCTCAACCAGCTTTCAAAGCTGAACTTGATCGAAACAAATTTTATCATTAAAATATGTCTTCTGCTGGTCTTGCTACCTATCATATCTAATTGGCATTGCTGTGAAACTTATGGTACTTTAGAAAATGTGTTGGGCTTTTTTAATCAATTAGACATGCGTGACCTTAATTATTGTAGGTAAAGGTCTTCATACAAAAAAAAACTATAGCACTCCATCCAAGTTACCTAATGGCTATACATCAGGAAAAAGAAGGAAAGAACAAAGTAATTGGTGAAATAATTATGGCAACTTGCTGTATCACTACCAAAGTCTTTAGTGTGTATGTATACATGTCTTTCTATCAATGTGAAGTATTATTTCACAGAACACTGTACTAAAATTAAAGCAGAGTGTCATGTACTATGTTTAAGTTGTAAAACAATATCGTGACAATTGTAAAAAAAAGAGAGAACATTTTGAACTTTCTGAGTAGCTGTGCTGAACTCATTCATTGAAATTTGCTATAAAACGTCTTTAGAGCTGATTTAGAGCTCACACTAATAGATAGAGAAATATGCAGAAATTATCTTAGCAATATTTATTTAACTATTCATTTCTTAGATTTTTAATCCTGAAAAGTTAATTGGCCCAAATATTTTAACAGCAAGAATTGAGCAATGTGTCCTATATGGGAATGACGTCAACATTACTTTTACATGAAGATAAAAATTGATTTCTCAGTAGGTGAGCCACAGAAAATTAAGTAAATATTATCAGCAGAAATGGTGTATAATTTCTAACAGGATGTTAATTTTTATCAAAACAGGATGTCTAACAAAGTCAAGAAAATTTATTGAAAACAAGAAAACCAGTAAATAATGGTTTATGCTCCCCGAAAATGTCACTGAGACTGAAATAAAGCGTGATCTCAAATTGATGAGATCTGGAGCTTGGGCGAACAGACCTTAAAGTGGTATGTAACACACCACCTTTCCATCCTGCATATATAATATTCCATCAATTTAGGGAACTATCTTAAGCAAGTTAGAGGTTATGGTCTAGACAATGTACTTGACCTTTGAACTCAATGTGACGATATACACTGGATATATACATTGTATGTCCTTGGATGTACAGACCCAATTATGATTGGCAGCACACTAACTTTTATTCCTACATATATCCCATTACTTTAATTGAGCTATCTTCGAGTCAGAATTTGCAGCCCAGACAATGAATTTGACCTTTGACCTCAATGAAACTTTAATTGACCTTGGGGTGTACAGTACATCTTAAAAGTGGTTAGGATACACCACCTTGATATTAATGATGGTTTAAAATCTTAATTGACCATTGATTTGTAATCAGAAGTAGTAAATTGACAATTGCAAAAACAATGAATTTGACCTTTCACCTCAATGAAACCATGACCTTGATTGCACATTAATAATTTTATTGGACAGAATACCCAAATGAAGTGAGAAACTACTACTTCATCTATAGACAGAGTTGCTAACTATTAGATTTGGTTCTTTTATAATGATTGGATTTCAAGCAGTTTTTATGAAGTTTTATCAACCCGATAGTAAAAATCAGAAGAACATTGAAAACATTTAACACTCTGACTTCTATCATGAACAGATTGTATCATAATGGAATTTGTAATCAATAATCGGAATCAGAAAGGGCAAACCGATTGATATTTGATTATAATTGATCATCACTACTTGACATCCTACATTGATAATACTAATATATCAGGTTGCCATCTGCAGCAAGTTAGAAATTATGACTTGGACAATAAATTACACCTTAGACCTCAATGTGATCCTGATCTTCAGTTTAGGGACCAAGAGTGGTGGTACACACAACACATCAATTTGCCATCCTACTTATATATATATATATATAATCCCTAAAATTTCAGTGAGTCAAAAGTTATTGCTTGGACAACGAATT